CTAACATGGGCCACAGAGACAATTAAAAATGTTACTATCAAAAAATAAAAATAATAAGATATTTTTTAAAAATTGCCAGGTGCAGTGGTGCATGCCTTTAATCCCAGCACTCAGGAGGCAGAAGCAGGCGAATCTCTGAGTTGAAGGACAGCCTGGTCTACATAGTGAGATCCAAGCTACCTGGGGCTACCCCTGTCTCAAAAAAATACCACCCCCCCAAAATGTTTCTCTCTGTTTTCAAATTTTAGTCCCTTCACAATGCCACCCCCTTACTAGGTCTCCTTATAGCATAAGCAAGAGCAGAAGTAAATAATGAGTACCTCATTTTTATTTCTATTTTATTTTATTTTTTGTCTTTTGAGACAGGGTCTCCCTGTAGCCCCAGCTGTCCTGGAACTCACTATGTAGACCAGGCTGGCCTTGAACTCACAGAGATCCACCTGCCTCTGCCTCCCAAGGGCTGGGATTAAAGGCGCACTCCACCACGCCGGGCCCTCATTTTTATTTAATGCTTCAATTTGAAATATGTATACTTCCAGGCTCACATGACTTAGATTTTCTGGCACAGTCTATCCGGCATACATGGTGCAAGGATGTTGCCAGTGACATAGGGCCACCTGCTGCAGTACTGGGTAAGTTGTGCTAACTTTGGTTTATTTCATAGCATAAAATAGAACTGTGTGCATACTCACTGGAGACTGAACCCAGACCCTCAAATGTGTTCCACCAGTGAGCTTTACCTCAGCCCATTTTTGTCCACTTTGAAAATGAATGGTCCTTTGTTTTCTTTACTGGTTGGTACTAAGGGTTCTTTATCTATTTTGGGTAGTAGTCCTTTTTCAGATACATCTTTTCCAGTTATTTCCTTCTAGTCCATGGATCATCTTTTCACGCTTTTGATAGCTTTTTATACATTGTTGGATTTGATTTACCCATGTTTTTGAAGGATTTTACATCTGTGTTCATAAGAGATAATGACTTTTAGTTTTCTTGAAGTGCCTTTTTCTAGTTTTGGTATTAGGACAATGCTCGTCTCATAAAAGGAGTTAGGAAGTATTTCTTCTGCTTCTGTCTTCTGGAAGAGTTTGTGGATTGGTATAATTTCTTCCTTAAATGTTTATAGAATTCACCAGTGAATCCATGTAGATTTAGTGCCCTTTTTGAGAATGTTAGTTGAATTATTGATTTAATTTCTTCAATACGTACAGATGTATCCATATCACCTGTTTTTGTGGGCATTTAGGGAGATTGTGACCCTTTCTTTTTTATGTGTAAAAGTGTTTTGACTGAATGTTAAGTAAGTGCACCCGTGTTGTTCAAAGCCTGTGGAAACTAGACGAGGGCATCAGATCCACAGGAGTTACAGACAGGTGTTAGCCGTCATGTGAGTGCTGGGAATTGAACCAAGGTCCTCTGCAAGAGCAGCCAGTACTCTTAACCACAAAGCCCTCTCTCCAGCCCTGAGATTATGTCTTTTAAGGAATTAGCTACTTCGTCTAAATGATCAAATTTGTGAGCATAGAGATGTTCATAGTATTCCATTGTCCTTTAAATTTCTGGATCTGATCGTAAGCAGATACAGTGTCCTTTATTGTCTTTTCAGTGTCCATAGAGTAGTAGTAATGTCTCTTCTTTCATTTCTCCTCCTCCTCTCTCTTTGCCTGATTCCTAATCTTTCTTTCTCAATCCCCTTGGTTAGAGCCTTAGCAACTTTCTTGCTCTTTTCGAAAAACCATGGTGTAGACCAAATTATGTTTCCTCAGAATCCATATGGCTGGAGTCCTGCCCCTCAGTGTGGCTATGTCTGCAGACAGGGTCTTTATGAGGAGATCCAAGTTCAGTAATGCCTTAAGGATAGGACCCTGTTCCAATAGGGCTAGTGCCCTTAGAAGAGAAAGAAAATACCAGACCAGGCTCTCTTCCCATCCCATGAGGGTATAGTAAGAAGGTGGCTGTCTACATGTCAGAAGACAGCACTCATCAGAAACCAAATTGGCCAGCACCTTGATCTTGGACTGCAGCCTCTAGAACTATTAAGAAAATAAATTTCTCTTGTTTAAGCCACTTGGATGATGCAGACCTTTTTCAGTTGTCTCACAATTCTTGAATATTCTGTTTTGATTTAAACAGTTTTTTTTCCTTCTATTTGCTATTCACTTTGGAGCTTCCTATCCTGTCTCTGGAAAAAGAATATAGATCCTGTCTCTTAACAAAGTCAGTTACGTTATAGGAAGAACATACATGTTGGGGGCATAATTGTGGTCTTTGGAAAATGCAGTCTGCCAAATTGGGAAAGTTAATTGTGTTTTATTTTTAGTAAGCTGATACATGAATTTCCGTAACCTTTTTTGGAGAACAAGAATTGAAACAAGATTTTTTTAAATTATATTTATTATGTGTATGTGTATATGTATGTGTGTAGGTGCACACATGCCACAGAGTGTGTATGGAAACAGAGAACAACTTGCAGTAGTCAATTCTCCTTCCACCATATGGGGCATGGGGATCACACTAGGGTTACCAGAGCCTTTACCTGCTGAGCCATCGCACCAGCCCTGAAGAAACACTTTTTAATCCAGCCAAGTAAAGCTTAATATAAAATCCTGTTACAAAATAATTTCATGTGTTAGGATTTTATAGCAGCACTTATTTTTTTATATTTTTGTCCTATTTTATATCATTTTTCAAGGTAGTTTTTTATTACTATCTTTGTATTGCAGATAAAGCTGTAAAAGGTAATACAGATTCATTGACAGATTCATCTGGAATTATTTTTGAGAAGAAGCAGCAGTGCATCTCTTTAAAACATGAAAATAAGGTTGTACTTTAAATGCTTATTAAAAGTTCATATAATGATAGAATTTTATTCTGAACAAAAAATGTGTAATCTATTTAAAAATCCTCAGATTGCATAGTTTATTCTTGAAAAAAATATAGTTTGCATGTTTTTTTGTTGTTTTTTGTTTTTGTTTTTTTGGTCATTTTGAGACAGGGTCTCCCTGTAGCCCCAATTTGCCTGGAGCTCACAGAGAGAGTAGTTGTAGACCAGGCTGGCCTTGAACTCACAGAGATCTACCTGCCTCTGCCTCCCAAGTGCTGTGATTAAAGGCATGTGCCACCATGCCCCTCGGAGTTTGCTTGTTTATTTTGAAGAAAAAAGGTAACTCAAGCTTCCCCTTATCAAGCTTTTGTTTCTGGTGACTAGTAACCTCTCTGTAAAATGAGTCTTTATGCTAATTAAACAAGGTATGAACATCTTGGAGTTGTGAACATTTGACTAGTTAATTTCAATTCTAACTTGTTTTACAGTTCGTCCAACAAAGTCAAGGGAACATAATTATATGACATCTTAAATACTTAATGTGAAATATGCCAGTTTCCCTGCTGTTTGGACATTTCAGTCTAATGGGTTTTTTGGGGGGAGGGGTTGTTTGTTTGTTTTTTGGTCTTTTTTGAGACAGGGTGTCCCTGTAGCCCCAGCTGTCCTGGAACTCGCTGTGTAGACCAGGCTGACCTTGAACTCACAGAGATCTGCCTGCCTCTGCCTCCCGAGTGCTGGGATTAAAGGTGTGCACCACCACGCCCAGCTTTTAATAGTTTTATAGTGATGGCCTAGACATCCAACTTTGTCCACAGCTGTGTGCATGAAAATTGTCTGGAATGACTGTGAAAATAATTCACATTGTATTTTGGTTCCAAAAGAATATAAATCTGAAAGCATATTCATTCTCTCTCTCTCTCTCTCTCTCTCTCTCTCTCTCCTCTCTCTCTCTCTCTCTCTCTCTCTCTCTCTCTCTCTCTCTCTCATAGTGTGTTGAATCTTCAGTGTACTGGCCAACAAAAAGAGGCATAACCATATATGCTGATCCAGATATTCCAGCAACAAGGTATCAGTTGATAATTTAGTTTAGTTGGCTAGAGCTTTAGGATAGTGTAATGCAGTCTTACATTGGCATTGTGGGAAGGGGATTGGTTCCAGGACCACTGAGAATGTCAAACTCAGTGCGTGCTCAAGTTCCATATTTAAAAATGGCGTAATGTTTTCATATAACCTATGCACATTCTCCTGCATACTTTAAAACATCTCTAGATGATTTCTAATACCTAATGCAATGTGAATGCTATAGAGTTATACTATATTGTTGAAGGAATAATGACTAGGAAAAATCTGTACATCTTTAATACAGCTACAATTTTTTTTCAAAATATTTTTAATCTGTGGTTGATTGAATGCACACATGTGAAGCCCACAGATGCAGATCAAATGTACAGTAGATATCTAAAAGGTTAATGACGGACAATTATCCGCCCCCCCACCTGCCGGAACAAAGTGGTCTGGGAAATTTTGACTCTGTATATAGTACTTTAAAGGAAAAATTGTATGGCATCTTGTTGACTGGCAACACAGTAGAACAAAAACTGGTAGTGGGTCTATAGTCCCTTTCTGGTCTTGTGGACACTGTTTCTGTAGGGTAGAGCCAGTGAATACTGGAAGGGTGGTTATGTAGAAGGTGGGTAAGTGTGAGCCAGGTGGAAGCACGACTTGGTAGGTTGCAAATTGGAAGAAAGCAAAGATGGCTTCTTGTCTTCTCCAAAGTCTTTGATTATAACCCTGTCCTCCTTAAGACACATGTCAGTAGCATCAATGACATTACAGAAGAGTTGTCCTGTACCCCTTCATGTATAGTATAAGAACATAAGATTTAGTGTATTCCATCTTCTCCCTGCTGGATTTTATGCTGTGGTTGTTGTTTGTTTTATTTATATATACTTTATAAATGGTGGAATCTATTATAAAATTTAAAATTATCTTTTTTTTTGGCCTTTTTGAAACAGGTTCCCTGAAGCTCTAGCTGGCCTGGAACTCACTATGTAGACTAGGCTGGCCTTGAACTCACAGAGATCTGCCTGCCTCTGCCTCCCGAGTGCTGGGACTACAGGTGTGTGCCACCATGCCTACCTTAACTTTTAAGAGAATTAATCAGAACAGTGTCATTCACTTACTTGTAGCTAAACTGGTACTCTTCACTATTTGTATAGATCCATGTTTCCATCTGATAATTCTTTTCTTCTTCCTGAAGGGCTTTAACATTTACATTGCAGGTCTACTCATAGTGAACACTTTCAGAAAATGTATGTCTGAAAAGTTATTTTTAGCTTCGTTAAAAAAAAATTTTTTTAGGTGGGGCTGGAGAGATGGCTCAGAAGTTAAAAGCACTGGCTGCTCTTCCAAAGGACCTTGGTTCAGTTCCTAGCACCCACATGGCAGCTAACAACTATCCATAACTCCAGTTCCAGAGAATCTGACTCCTTCTTCTGATCTCCACAGGCATTGCACAACATGAGTGCGCCTAACTACGTGCAAGCAATACACTCATAAACATAAAAATAATAAAACTGCTGGGCGTGGTGGCACACGCCTTTAATCCCAGCACTTGGGAGGCAGAGGCAGGTGTATCTCTGTGAGTTCAAGGCCAGCCTGGACATGCGTATGAGGTGTTTGGATCAAATCCATGTTCACTCCCTCCACTCCAAAACCTCCTATATCTCTTCATCACTTTTTCTGACTTTGTGTACTCTTTCTTTCTTCCTTCTTTTCTCCCTCCTTCCTTCCTTCCTTCCTTCCTTCCTTCCTTCCTTCCTTTTTCATGGGGCTTTTTACTACTCTAACTTTCCCCCCTCTGAAGAGATAAGTCTAAAATCTTTTAGGGATTAGATAAGAGCTCCCAAAATACTTTTGACATTTTGGCCTTTGGAACAGATTATGTTGCTAAGAGGCCCAAGGACATTTTGACTTTTAGCCAAGAAACTGGCTACTTTTCTTGGGAAATAATTATCAAAATAACTTTTTATATAGGCTTGAGCCTAATGTCTGGGAAGTGTAATCCCTTCAGCTCTTAAAGAAATATACTGATGACTTTACTCTTTAGTTATACTTTCTTTTTGGGTGTTTAAGACCATACAGTTGGCCAAAATAAATGAATTAATTTTTACACTTAAGATCGTTTGAGGAACTGTTCCTCAGGGGTCACATGGGCTTGGGAGGAACTCCTGGCTCCTTTCTTTTACCAATTCCATCTATGGGAAGATGAGTCAAAGGTCCTTCTTGACCATCTTGGGCTTCACTTGGAAGTATGAATGAGATGTTTCCTCTGAGTTGACCCTCCTTTTTGTAAACTGGACACTGGTTCAAGTCCATCTCGTGGGGTCTCCATGTCTTCCCTGAACAAGAGGACAGGTGACTCACCACAGTTACCAGACATTTTGAGAGATGTTCCATAGTCCCCTGGAACTTGGTCGACCTTGAAGGGCAAGGGGCAAAAACTGTCCTTTAAGTCCCTCTGACCACATTAGTATAGGCCTTAAAGTATGGCTGTTAAACATCCAATAAGGTTAGTTCCACCAATCTGGTACTTAATAATAAAACATTTTCTTTTTAAAAAGGGAATAAAACATTTTGCTAGGGATGCTGGGCATGGTGGTGCATGCCTTTAATCCAGCAGTTGGGAGGCAGAGGCAGAGAGGCAGGCAGATCTCTGTGAAATTAAGCCCAGCCTGGTCTACATAGTGAATTCCAGGCCAGCTGGGACTAGGGAAACCCTGTCAAAACAAAACAAAATGAAACAAAACAAAACAAAATAGATCTTTGCTGGCAATACTTTGAATGTTTCAAAGATTTTCACTATCTTTTTTGCATTATTTATGATGCATAACTTTTTCTTTGCTTCTCTGTAACACATTTCTTCTGACTGTATTTAAGATATTCTGTTTATTATTGGCTTAAGCAATTTAATAAATACAAAACTTGTAATTTTTCTCATACTTATTTTTAAAATACATATTTTTATTGAATTTTTGGGCATTTCATACATAATATCTCAATCCATCTTAATCATCTTTGTACATCCTTCCCCACTGGCACCCAACCATAGTCCCCCACTGGAATTCATACATTCTGTCATTTGCATTAAGCCTATTGTGTCAAGCTAATGTCCCCAGGAGTTCCTCAGTGCAAGTTCATCTCCTGAGGTCTAGTCAGCCTATGTAGAGTCCCTTGCTTTAGGAAGATCAGCTCTTCCTCACCCAGCAGTATCAGTTGCCAATATTTCTTCAGCTAAGATTGGGGTCTGCTGTCCATTTCTCCAATTTGATGCTGGGTTAAAAATTTTTTTTATTTTATGTGTATTTATTTTTAAATATTTTATTTATTTTTATTTTATGTGTGTGCGTGTATTGCCTGCATGTAGATAAGTGCACCTGTATCGTGTAATGCCTGTGGAGAACAGAAGAGACCATCAGATCCCCTGGAACTGGAGTTACAGACAGTTAGCTGCCATGTGGGTACTGGGATTTGAACAACCAGTGTTCTTGACTGCTGAGCCATTTCTCTAGCCCTGTGTATTTTATTTTTATGAGTGTATTTCCTGCATGTAGGTAGGTGCATCCATGTCATGCAGTGCCTGGGGAAGAGAGAAGAAGGTGTCAATAGTCCCTGGAACTGGAGTTGCAAATGATTGTTAGGTGTCATGTGAATGCTGGGAACCAAACCCAGGTCCTCTACAAGAGCAGCCAATGCTCTTAAGTGCTGAGTCATCTCTCCAGCCCCAGGTTTTCTCATATTTATTAATGCTTGGGATTTATTTAGGACCTGTATAGCTTTCTCTTTGATCAAATTTAGAAAGAATCTTAATCCATTTTGTGCTTCTATAACAAATATTTCAGGCTAATTTACAAAGAACCAATTTTTTTTTTCACAATTCTGCAGGCTGGAAAGTTCAAGATAAAGACATCAACAATTTTAGTGCGTGGGAAGGACCCAGACTTAGCTCCCAAGATGGTGTCTTAAACATTACGTTCTCCATAGGAGATAGGACCTACTCCCACAAAGAAGTGCCATTAACATAAGCATGAGGACTGGGTCCTCATGGCCAGACCTCTCCCCAGAGGCCTTATTTCCCAATGCTATTGCATTGGGGACTAAGTTTCAACATGAAATTTGGAGGGGACAAGAACAGTTGAACCATAGCAGGAACCATTCAACTCTTTTTAAATTTTTTTAATTTAAATTTTTAAATTTAATTTTATGTGTATGAGCATTACATGTATGTGAGTGCACCCATGTTGTGCAGTGCCCACAAAGGACAGTAGAGGGAAATTGGATCCCCTGGAACTGGAGTTAGGGACAGTTGTTAGCTGCCATGTGGGTGCTGGGATTTGAATTCGTGTCTTTTGCAAGAGCAGCCAGTGCTCTTAACCACTGAGCCATCTCACCAGCCTCTCGGCTATTATTTCTACAAATATTTTTGTACATGTCTTTATCCCCTCTCCTTTTGATACTCTGCTAAAACAAATTTCAAAAAGTTTGGTATTTTCTGAAAGTTCTCTAAGCTCTTCTCAGTTTTTAACCTTTTTTCTTGTTTTTCAGATTAATAACTACAGCTCCCTCCCCCTCTTGCCGCTCCCCTTTCCTATCTCCATCCCCATCTTGCTCTTGAGTCAGTTCAATGAATATTTGTTTTTGTGTTACATTTTTCATTTCTAAAATTTCTTTTTAAAAACTTTTTTAAAAATACATTTTATTTATTATTTTTATGTGTATGTGTGTATTGCCTGCATGTAGGTAAGTGCACCCGTGTCATGCAATGCTGGAGGAGGACAGAAGAGGCTGTCGGAGGGAACTGGAGTTACAGTTGTTAGCTGCCATGTAGGTGCTGGGATTCGAACCTGGGTCTTCTGCAAGAACAGTCAGTGTTCTTAACCACTGAGCCATCTCTCCAGCTCCCTAAAATTTCCAGCTTTTTGTAGTTTATATTTCTTTTTCTAAAACTTTTTTTTCCATTCTAGAGTGCTGAGCTTTTCTTATGGAGTATGTTCATAATTCTAGCTGCATTAGTGTTTGTTAGTTCCCATTCCTGAAATGTCTTGACGTTGGAACTTTTTAATTATCTTTTCCCCTTACAATTGATCTGATTTTCCTTATTCATTCTCTGTTGAGAGACTTCAGTTTATTTTCTGTTTTGAGTAATATGTTGTGAGACTTGGTTTCTTTGAAACCTTCTGCTTAATGTTGATTGTGGCTTGTTTTAGCAGGATATACAACAGCTCTGACAGGTACAGACTCACTTTCTGTGAGTGGTGAGGTGCTCTGTGGCTTGGTCTACAGATGCTCAACCTGGTATGCCCTGGGGACTATGCTGAGTCACCAGCATCAGTAGGGAATTACCCTCCCCTCCTATAGGCATACATTTCCAGGATTTCCTTGCCATTCAGCATTCCGGGTATTCCTCCTATATGCCCCTTTGGCCAGATTAACAGTTTCTCTTGGAGAAACTACTGTGTACTCGGCTTAAGCCACTTAGGGAACAAAGCAGCAGTAGGAATAAAGAAAAAGTGGTGGATATGTTCCCTATACACTGGACCATGGAGTTCCCATCTTTTCTGGGTTCAATGACAGGTTTTCTTTTGTGGTTTAGACCATACTGTTGCTAGCTCTAGGGATGGAACTGCCAAGATTGAAGGTGGCCTTGGGGCAAGACCAGAAGAGAACAAGAGGAAAATAACTTGGACGCCTCACACTTTGTTCAAAGAGCCCTGCTTCCTGTTTCTCTGGCTTGGGAGCCTTGACCAGAAGTTCTCTTGATTTACATCCACTGTACAATTCAGCATCTAGGCTGCCCTCAGATTGATAGAGGAAGGAAAAGGCCAGTAAATCTCCAGAAGGCTGTTTTTGTCAGGTTGTTACTCTCCACTGCTTTGATCCCTGCCCAGTTTCTAGTTGTGATCAGCATAGCAGAGAGGCTGTGTGGCCAGCATCAGATATGTCTAAGGTGTTTCTTTACTTAGTGCATAGTGTCTTTCTGTTGTCAATGAAATTCACTTGGGAAGATTTAGTCCCTATTCACTCGTACTTCTTAAATTTTTTTCCAGTTATCTTCATGATGTCAGATTTAGTTCACAAAAACTTAAGTGGTTTTTGTTAACATATAACTATGAGGGCTAATCAGCAGGAAGGAACTTTCCAACCCAGTTCCAGCCTGATTTCGAAGCAGTCGGAGACCATTTCCTGTCTGCAGCTGGGTTCTTGTCCCACCCTCCTCCAAGAGTGGAGTGAGCAGACAACAGAGAGTACAAATGGGAGGTATAGTATTTGTCAGTTCGGAATTAACAGCCTTCCTTACCTTAAAACAGATTGCCATGTGGGATTTAGATGAAGCAGGTTTGAACTGCCACTAGCAATGGGATGCTGGCCATGAGTCATTACAACTCTGAGAAGTGTCATAGCACTAATGCTCTCACAGAGCCTCAGGATGCCAGCAAAAGCTGTCCCTTGCAGAGCTGGTCTTTTGTTCAGGAGGGGCAGACTCAAGCAGGTCTCAAAGGCTGGAGCTTCAGATCTCTGGAGCAGTAGGTCTTGAAGCCAGGAGCCTCAGGTCCCCTGTTAGGGTCCGTGACTCGGTGGGTCTCTTCTGGAGAACAAATGCACGAGTATGGAGATGTAAAAATCAAGCAGAGAGAGTTTTATTAAACCAGCTAGCTAGGGCCGACCATCCTTCCCAAAACACGCAGGTCTGGTCAGAGCGATCGACCCTGAGGAAATTTTAGGTGAAGATTATATAGGCTCCCACAACCATTACACAAAAGCCTGCGTTCATACAGACAATAGTTTCAAATCAAGCATTTCACAAACCAATAACAAAAAAATGTTACAACTCCCTTCAGGTGTCTCAATTGGGGAGGGATGGGTGGTATTGTGCCAGGCACGACTTTTTCCTGCTATCTTGTGTAAGCAGATCTGTCTACGTGACATGACACAGATCAGGTCAGGCTCCAGCAGGGGAGGGCTGTAGCGATTGCCCCATCTCCGGATGCCTGTGTCTCCAGTTGAGTTAATTGGTTACAAGCAGTAAATTTAAACAAGTAAATTCAGGCAGTAAATTCAGACAAGCAGTATATTCAAACAAGCAGTAAATTCCTCTTTCCCTAACACCCCAAAGCTGCAGGTCTAGAAATCTGGATTTGCTGGTCTTGTAAGCAGTGGGTCTTGGAGGCCAGAAGCAGCTGCAGGGAAGAATTCCCTTCCATAGCCCATTGAGGTATAAAGAGCCTTGAGCAGGAACTAGTTCTCTCTCTGCTTCTGTTGTCTGAGTCCTAGAGGCTGGTAGGAATGAGCTTCCAGTCCAGGGCAGAAGCCTGAGATGTACAGAGCCTCCCAAGAATCTGTCCCTCGGGAGACTTGAAGGCAGTCTTTCTTCATTAATGAGCTAGCCAGCTTGAGCAGAGATCCGAAGTCTCTAGGCTTCTTCCTCAGAAGAGAGCAGAAGCTCCTACCAGAGCAGCTGCTCTGGTTTTGTAGCTCCAAACACTCAAATTTATGGAGCTGCAGGCTGGATCCTCTCTGGCTGAATGTGGGAAGATGAAAAAATGGGACCAATCAAGGCACCAAACCTTGTGTGTGTGGGAGGGGGGTGAATCCTGAGGCTACCAAACTTTGCCAGTTCACAATCAAACCAGGTCTCCGTTGCAGAGGTAGGGAAGCTAGTAAGAAAATTCCCATTTGCTATAGCGAATTTTGCAGGCTGACTGCCCAAGATTTTAGCTCTGCTGGTGTGTGTGTGTGTGTGTGTGTGTGTGTGTGTGCAGCTGCTCCTAAAGGCTATTGGCAGCTGCCTTTCTGTGGCTCCTTTGCCCCAGAGGCTTAAGGCTGCCAGCTGTCAGGAAAGCTGTTAGGCCCCTCAGTATTTGGGGGAGGGGTTACCTACCCCCAACAATTTCTCTCTTCTGTGACCAGGACATGTGTCTTCAGCAACAGGGTCTTATCATCTGTGCTCTAATTGGGAACCAACCAGCAATGGTAGTTGCTGAACTGATTTGTGAATAAGTCTTTTGATGTGTTTTGATTTCCAGTGCTTTGAGGCAGAAGCCAAATGAGAAGCCACTTCAGTCAACTGAGAAGAAAGAGTGTGATGAGAAAAATGGATGTGTGAAGTAAGTGTTTTTCTTGGACTGACTTGTTTACTGATTAATTGTAATAAGACTATAAGCAGGAATAATTTACCTGTGGTGTTGTCGACTTCAATCCTGCATTCCCATAAAACACAGAAAGTCCAGTAGGCCCTGAGCTAGTTCAGGATTGGGTCAAGCCTGTTTGAAACCACAGAACGAGAAGACAGGAATGTCCTCATGTAGGCAATTTTGCAAAAGAAGTTAGGTATACTTTGTGTATCTTAGGGCTGTTGATCTTTTGTGGGGCGATGTTTGAGTTTCTTCTAGATTTTCTGATATTAAATAGGTCTCCTCCCTACTACTTCACATCAGAGTAATAACTTTATGTTTGTTTAATCCACAAAATGTTTTTATACTCCCAGTTTTTTAGACCAGACTTTACCAGCTTAACCAGTTTCACCTTCTAAGTAACTACTGCACTGTAGTCCTCAGACTGACAGAGTTGACAACTGTTGAAGGGTCAGTGGGCTGTGCTATATCACTTGTTAGCCGGCTGACCACCCACCTTCCAGAGGCCAACCTGATGCCCTGCATGCTCTTTGACTAGCACAAATGCTCTTGAAGCCAAGAGCTTTGAAGGCTAGAATGGGTCTTAGAGATGGGGCTAGCTGTTAATGAACCTGATTCTGATACCCCCGCTTCCAGAAAATCCCCCCTCCCAGTGCCTGAGGTGTTTGCTATTATAAGTAACTGTTTTCCTTGGCACAAAGAAGTTTTCACCATTCATGCCACCTCGTGAACTCTGTTCCCTTTCATTTCTATAGCGTAAAGCCTCGTCTTGTCTGCTGTCTTGCTAAGTGCTGTTTGCTTAGTTCTGACTGCTGAAAAATGCATCCGTTGTTTGTCAGTCTGTTATGGGTTCCACGAATCCTTGAAGTAGTTCATGAAGAAAGAAGACATTGTGGGTTGGGAATGCAGAAAGAAGGAATTCTTTCAGTGGGCATCTGGGTGAGGCTAAGGAGCAGGTAGTAAGCCATAGGAGAAGGTCAGTAAGGCCTGAGGGCCAGTGGCATCCATGATGATTAAACTAGACCCCAGAACCATGTGCTCTGCAGCAGTCACTCTGTAACCTGTGCCAGGAAAGGAGGTTACAGAAGGTTTACAAAGATGGCTGCAGCACCATTGACCTAAAGCTCAACTGGAGCAAGGACTGTTCAAGAAAAGCAGCAGCTCTTGAGTTCCTAAACCAGTTTGAAGAAGCCAAGGAAACCTATGAGAATGGTCTAGAACCAAAGCAGGTCAGATGAGAGGCTTGCCCTGCTTGGGTAAAGGTACTTGCAGCCAAGCCTGACCGCTTGAGTTCAGTCCTCAGAACCCACTAAGTAGAAGGTGAGAACTCAAGTGTCAAAAACTGTTCTTTGACCTCCACGTACATGCCGTGGCATGTTCATGTGTGTACACACACACATATAAATTTTTTTTTGAGACGGGGTCTCCCTGTAGCCCCTACCTGTCCTGGAACTCACTTTGTAGACCAGGGTGGCCTTGAACTCACAGAGATCTGTCTGCCTCTGCTTCCCGAGTGCTGGGATTACAGGAGTGTGCCACCATGCCCAACACACATAGAAATATTTTTAAAAAATCATGGCCAGCGAGATGACTCAGCAATTAAAGGTGCTTGCCTCCAAGCTGACACTCTTGAGTTGATTTCCAGGACCCAAATGGTGGAAAGAGAGAAGTGACTTCAGCAAATTGTCCTCTCCTTCAAACATGTTAATGCACACACAGGTACACGCATACATACATACAAATAAATATTAAAAACATTTATTAAGAACATAGCCAGGCATGGTAGTTCATGCAATTAATCAGTCCCAGCACTCAGGAGGCGGAGGCAGGAGATCTCTGTGAGATCAAGATACTAGCCTGGTCCACCAGCGAGTTTCAGGGCAGCTAGGGCAACAGGGAGACCTTGTTTCAAAAAAAAACAAAAACAAAAAAAACACACACACACATGGGGCTGGAGAGATGGCTCAGTGGCTAAGAGCAGTGACTGCTCTTGCAGAGGACCTGGGTTTGATTCCCAGCACCCACTTGGTGGCAAACAACCATCTGTAACTCCAGTTCCAGGGGAATCTGATGCCCCTCTCTCATCCCCACAGGTATTGCATGACACAGGCGCACTTTCATACATGCAAGTAAAACACTCAAAACACATAAAATAAAAATAAAATATTTTTAAAAAGAACACAAAACCAGTCTAGAGACATGTGTACCAGAGGGTGCTTGACCTGGCTGTAAGAAGGCACCAAATGGTTATCAACACTGTTGTGATGGTTCAGTATAGCAGACATGACAGCCTCAAGAATGTAAAGCAGTAGGCCATGGCTGATCCTAAGGTGCAACAGATAATGAGTGACCCAGCATTTGGCTCTTGCTGGAGCAGATGCAGAAGGATCCCCAAGCACTCAATGAATGCTTAAAGAATTGGCAATAGCACAGAAGGTGCAGAAGCTGATGGATGTGAATATGAGGCAATTTGTGAATGACTTTTCATCATTCCCTCTTCCTTTGCCCCATGTGGAAAGGTGAGTTAAGATGACAGGCAGCAAGCAGTGTAGAGTAGAGGGAAGCAGGAAAGAACAGCTCATCTTTGTATTTATACTTGCTTATGTTGAATACACACTCATCCACCATCACCTTGAACCCTCCCAGCACACATATGGTCTGTTCACTGCTGACCTTGGGTCAGTGTCTCTTTTCCCTGCTTCTATTCACTATGTTGGCTACCCCTCACCCCCATAGCTGGTTATTTTTTTTTATTTGGGGCAGTGGTTGCATATGAGGAGAGGATGATATTCCCAATCTGAAAACCAAGCTATCTTCACATTATTAACTCTACATCTCTTCTCTAATAAAATAAACCAGTCAAGTGTGGTTATATGGTTCCAAAAAATTGACTGAAAGGAGATTGCTTTCCTCAAAGATGGTCAGTTAGGGACAGATAGGTTTCATAGTACTTCTTATGTGACAGTAATAGTAGTAACAATTTTAGGGAAAGGGTCAGCAGACTAAGACAGGTTGCCAAGAGTCTTGTCTTTGAGGATGTCTTCAGGCCAGGGACCCAGCCAGCCTTCTCTGCTTGAAGCATATGGCATGCTTTCCTATCTGTCTTTCAGGCTGATTACTCAGCCTCTGAGTACCTATACCCAGTTTCTTAGATTTATGCCCTTCAGATAACTCATACGGAAAATCTGAAACAACAGTGAATTTAGGAGGAGATCATCTCATATTAGGTCTGCTTCTCCATTCTAGATTACATACCACTTTTTCCCTTAGATTGCTAGACTCTTGAGTGATAGGGAATATATAGGATCCATACACAGCATGCAGAGGCCCAGCATATATTTCTGTAGGGATTTTTAGATTTTTACCAAACCAACTTTATTCCTCTGAGTGCCTCTGGAGATGCCAGGAACCTTAGATTGGGCCTGAAATAGTTTCTAACCTATTGCCAGCTTCATCAGTCATCCTCAGATATGTATGGGAGGTGGCAGATGAGTTTCCACCCAGTTTGGTTGGTAGCAGCACCCTATTATATTATTTTGAAGAGTATTTTGACACTGAGACCAGATATGCTGGGGAGAGTACTTTGATCATCAGTTAAGATAGTTGGTGTGGGTATAGCAGAGTGGAGTGGCTTGCCCTATGAGGGGCAGAACACAGAACGAGAGTACATGCCTGCACTGGTGCAACTCTGCTAGTGCCTCCAGCTAGTAGGATAAGTACTGCCCACATTTAGGACTGGTTTTCCCTCTTTGTTGCTGTCCAACATACTGGTTGAGTGAAAGTATTCTCACAGACCCAGAGGTGAACTTTACTAATATCTTAGGACTTCCTCAATTCAGTCAAGTTGGCAGTTAAGGTTATCCACTATAGTATCTTGTGCATATGTCATATATGTGATTTTTCCCTTATTTTTCTAAAGTTGCTAATAATTTGGAAGGATATTTTCTTGTTGTGTTGTTTCTATTCCTAATGTTGTATTTATGTTCTTTCGTTTCTATAAGGGCAGAGGCTTTTCTCAGGTGCCTTGTGCTTTGATTGTACACTCAAATGTATCATAAGGGCCTATCAAGCCAACCAGAGTCGCTGAGTGTTAACTGGTGTGTGATTGTGTGTCTTACTGTGGAATAAGCTGTTGCTGCTGCAGGACTATTGAACTCGGTCTCTAGTTCTCCACTTAAGTGGGTCATGCTCTCTAGGGAAGACTCCTACTGTCCGTTATTGGCAGGGGACATCCTGCCTGTGGCTGTCCTGGGTGCTGAGTTAGAGAAGCTGGTTGGAGGCTCATTCAGTGTTCCTGTTAGTTTAGCCTCCCCTTCTCAGTGAGGTCCTACCCACAGCTGTGCCTCTAGTGCCTGAGGTCTGACAGCTCTGCTTTGTCCACCCCAGAGATTCAACTCTTTAGGATGGGGTAGGCAGTTGTCTGGCATTGATAATGTTCAAGAAGATTCAAACATGGTCCCTTTCATTTCAGTCACTTACTAGATTACCACAGCCCAGGAACTTGGTTTTAATTGATAAGATTTTATACATATAGCAGTGTTTCTCCCATTTCTGGCTCAGATTCATCTGTCATGTATCTGCTGAATTAATTACCACTTACTCATCTGTTTCTAGGTTTCTAAAATTGTATTTGTAGTACCGTTTTCCTTCATTGTGGCTTTTAAAAATAGCTTTATCGGGGCTGGAGAGATGGGTCGGTGGTAGCTAACAACTGTCTGTAACTCTAGTTCGAGGGCATCCAACAGCTTCTTCTGTCTTCCACAGGCATTGCATGACACAGGTGCACTTACCTGCACACCGGCAATACATGCATAAACATAAAATAAAAAAAATTTTTTCTTAAAGTTTTAAAAAAATAAATAAAAATAGCTTTATTAAGATCCCATTTATATATGATAAAATTTACTCCTTTTAAAGTGTAGAGTTCAGTGGTTCTTGGTATAATCATATAACTATCACCAGTAATCTTAATTTCAGAACAATTTTGTCACCACCCCCTAAAACTGTATCTACTGCCAGTTACTCTCCATTTCACCCTTTCCTCATCCTCTGGATAGCACAAATCTTTTGTCTGGGTTTTCCTGTTTGGAATATTATATAGAGACTGAGTCATACTATGTGGTTCTTGGTGACTGGTCTCCTTCACATGCCAGAATGTCTTCAGCATTCTTCTCTAATGTAGTATGAGTGAGAGTCTGAGTAGCACTCCATTACATGGTGCACGCATTTTACTTACTCATCAGTTGATAGATACTTAAGTCTTGTGGGTTTTGCATTTTTAAAGATCCATAGACAGGAATGGGGTTTCAAGGGAGAATTCAGTTCAGTGTGTGTATTTAGAATACCATGTTCCTGCCCAAGTTCCCACCACAGAAAATGGCGTGACCTCTCCACTGCTGTCACTGATCCTTATCCATATAGGGGGTGGTTTGGGGTCTGAATAAAAGCAATTTCAAATTCTTTTTCCTCTGAGTTAGCAGAGGTAGTAGAGGACAAGTCCTAATCTTGTATTTTCTGACTGTAAAATAAAGCTAATGAAATAAACCAATAGTTCCTGAGCTTGGCTGGTCCCCTTTCAGACACTATACAGGACATTAGTGTTAAGGCTGTGGCAGCTCAGACTCAGCCTCAGGTGGGATTGGGAAGCAGGAAGCTGGCAGAACCTCCTTGGTCCTTGCATCTTAATGAACCAAACAACAGACAACACACAGTTTTTCCATAGATGAGCCCTGGGATAGATGGTCATTTACCCCTGCACAGGGAAGACTCAAAATAATGTCTTAGTGGAGGAACTGCATATGCTTTCTTCTTCAAGTTATCTTTTTAACTACTTTACAGGTTACTGCAGTTTTTAAATCCTGATCCTTTGAGAGCTGATGGGATCTCTGATCTGCAGCAGGTATTAAAAACCCTAAAAGACGTTAAACAGAAGAAAAAAGTGTTACTGTTGTACTGTACCACCCTTCTCCCTCCAGACTTGAGTCCTCCTTAGATGGAGGCTTTCCCTGAGTCATGGTTTTAGCAGAATCTAGAGAATCACTGCTGTAGAGAAAGTGCTGTGTTTTATTGGGGGAACCGATGATCTTTCATTTGGGCGTGTTTTTTAGCAGCATGTATACCCAGGTTTTTACATGAAAATCTTGTATTTTCTTCTCTGTAAAGTTCTTGATACTCTGCTGTCCACGTAAGATCTGGCTGTGGTTATCTAATGTCTGTGTTGATTAGTTGCAGAAGATGAAGTCAGGCATGCCACAATCTGGAGTGGTATTCTGGAACAGGATCGAGCCCTGCCTGACTATGGATAAATCACCGCTGTCAGAAGACCTGAAGAAGGTGAACATGTTCTTAAAACCAGATTCCAGAAGAAATGCCAGCCTTTTCCAAAACAGAAGGATTATTTTATTTTGCTTTGTTTTGTTCTGTTCTAACAGTGCTGGGGATGGTGCCCAGAGTCTCACACATACTAGGCATGCACTTTTATACTTAGCTACCCTCAACCCCATCGAAGGATTTTTTAAAAATAAACAGTTCTGGCTGGGCATGGTGGTGCACACCTGTAGTCCCAGCACTTGGGAGGCAGAGGCAGGCAGATCTCTGTGAGTTCAAGCCCAGCCTGGTCATACATACATTTTTTAAAAAATTTAAACGTTAATTCAAACTCAAGAGGCAGAGGCAGGCAGATCTCTGTGAGACTGAGGCAACCTGGTCTACATAGGGAATTCCAGGTCAGCTGGGGCAAATAAATAAATAAATAAACAAACAAACAAACAAACAAACCTAAGATTTCATTGTATAATTTCTTTTGCAATTCTCTTTTAAGCTTTTGTGAGTTATTTTTCATGTATTTGTAAATCCAGATTAACTTTGTATAAGGGAATACTTCTTTTGCAGAAAAGCCATTGTAAAACTGTAAATTCATTCCTGAAATATGATTTCAAATGTGCCTCTGAAAGGGGGAGCTTAGAAGGAGCAGCACATTGCCAGAGCAGTTGTAGCAGATTTTTTAGCCATTCTTTCCAGTTGCTTCATAATTCACTTGGTAAATCAGTTTTACATGCTTATCTGTTTACGTCCTGGTTTTTGAAATGAAAAAGTTAAAATTTGTTTTTAAAAAATAGAAAGCCAAGCCAGATTTGGTGGTGCATGTCTTTAGTCCCACTACTCAGGAAGCAGAGGCAGGCAGATCTCTGTAAGTTTGAAGCCAGCCTGGTCTACACAGCAAAGCAATTAAGCCATATCCTTGTTGCAGTGTGCTTTAGTCCCCTGGTCAGAAAAAATCAACTACTCATTGGATTTTTTAATGGGCTCAGAAAACCAAAAGTCTTAAAACAGGAATTTCCTACTTGGAAAAGATTAATGAGAAACTTAAGGTAAGTCTTGAGAGAATACCAGAATAAACTGTGAGTGCTGCTGGTGGATTGAGTGAAGTAAGCTGGAGCTGTGAGATGAAGTTGATGTTCATTTTCCTTTTATCTCTTTGTTTTGTTTCTACCCTTTCTCTCCCGCTCCCCCGCCCCCTTTTTTTATAGGCTCTTCAAAGAAATAAGTTCCCAGGTCCCAGTCACACCGAGTCTTACTGTTGGCCTCCCATTGCCCGTGGTTGTGATGTGGTCGTTATCTCTCACTGTGGAAATGACCCTTTGTTGTACCTCCCGCCGCTGCTTACAATTTTACAGATGGGGGGTTGCTATAAGTCATTACCAAGTAGAAATGGAGTAAGTTCAGATAATCTTGAAATGGATTAAATGTTTATTTTCAAGCAACATACCTACTTATTTTGTAAAGTTAAGTCAGTTTTTTCCCAGATTGCTAGACTAGAAGCTGGCCTATCATTCTGGCCTGGCCAGAATGGCACAGGCCTGTATTCCTAGTACTTGGGAGGCTGAAGCAGGAGGATCACAGGTTTGAGGCCAGTCTGGGTTACATAGTGGGTTTGAGGTCAGCCTTTGATATACCTCAAGACCATGTGTCAACAAAACAAAACCTAGACCATTAGAAAATAACCTTTGCTTCTATCACTAAGTCTCCCAGGTAATTCTCACCTTGATTCCCATCTGTGGGCCTTAGATGACAGAAGAGTCCTGGCTTTTAGACCTGAACATAGAGTTTGTAAAATGATCTTAACTGAATTTGTGTCACATCAAGTAGATAAGATGGCCAGGCCATGAATTGGTCTTACTGTCTCCTACATGAGAACACTCAGTGTATGGGATGCTATTGTTAATAATTCTTAATTGCTGACATCTGGATGTGGGATTGGAAGTTAGTTTCGTTGTCTTGTCCCACATTATTTAAACTATTTCATAGCACTCTGCACTGTTTTATAATCTTTTCCCATGTATAAGAACCTGAATTTTCTAGCCGGGCATAGTGACACATGCCTTTAATCCCAGCACTTGAGAGAGGCAGAGGCAGGCAGATCTTTGTAAGTTCAAGGCCAGCCTGGTCTACATAGTGAGTTCCAGGCCAGCTGGGGCTACAGGGAGATCCTGTGTCACACACACACACACACACACACACACACACACACACACACGCACAAAAGAATCTGAAATTGACTAATATGGAAAGGAAGGAAATGGAACATAAGGACCAAATGGTAGTGGGTACTGACTTCAGCCTTTCTGAGTTTTAGCTGCCAAAAGAACTATATATCCCAGAACATGGCATAAAGGATGCAGTACAGATGGTCCCACCACACACCATAAGGTGAAACAGCAGCAGGAAATACATGTAGAGTTGAAGTTTAAAAGATCCTGATTCATTCTTCTAATCCTGCCATACAGTTTGATGATCTCCCTTTGGAATTTGCACTGGTTGCTATATATTGACTTAAATGAAATGAATGTATTTTTGTCCATGAATTAGGTTAGCAGCTGAGCCCAGCTGATTAAGTGCCATTTTTTGCTGAGACAGCTCTGGCTGGGGCAGAAGGGAATGCCCAGGGCTTACTCTTGTGTTTCCCTTGTTTTCTCACCTCTATATGCTGCTTTCAGGCCCATGTAGAAGTTGGCACTCAGCCTGGACCTGCCTAAAGGAAGGAAGAGACCAGTCTTGTCTCAGGTAGCCTAAGTCCAGGACGATGTTGGCAGGCAGGGCATCTTTAGGAGAATCTGTGGGCTAATGGAGAGTGGAGTTCAGAAGGTAGTCTCTTAAGGAAGAGGTGATGTCTCTTTGAAGGCCTCTTTCAAGGTGACTGCTCTTGTAAGGCATTCATTCATTCCTGGTGCTTAAGAGGAAGAAATCTGGAGACAGACTTTTAGGTTCACATTTTGTTGTCACCATGCATTAGCTTTATAGAGGAACTGACTTCATTCTACCTCAGACTCCTGCTTTGTGACATGAGGAACATTTGATCCTCCCCTTTGTAAGTGTACTTTAGGTTAAGCCTATGAAAATCTAAGTCAATGTTTCTAAGCCATTGTAATGAAATGATTTTTTTTTTCATTTTTCTGATCTATGTGATGGTGAAGATAGTGAAAGACTTAGGTAGTACTTATTCTGTGCAAGGTCGCATTCTGGATGTTTCATACATACTATGTTTGATTCCTAACCTCAGTCCAAAATTATTTGGATTTGTTTGTCTTTGCAGCCTCTTGCAGTCATCGTGTGTCCTGGGTGGAAAAAGGCCCAGTTTATTTTTGAGTTATTGGAAGACTATAGCATGTCCTCCAGGCCTCTTCATCCTGTGTTGTTAACAATTGGACTTCATAAAGATGAAGCCAAAAATATGAAGCTTCCAAGGGGGTGTAAGCATCCTTTCCAAACTGTTTGGTTTTTCTTACAGAAGACATTGAGCTTGCTTGGGCAGTCCTGGGACCTCAGGCAACATGGCCTAAGTGATGCTGCAGCTTGGTGGCCACTGATCCTGACCTCACTAGTTTACCAGTGGGTGTCAATAGTAAGGGCTCTATCTTGATCTATATCCATCTCTGAGATAAATGACATGATTTCATTCCATTGTCATCCTTTACTGACCACTCACTGTAAGATGATGAGCACAGGGTTGAAGAAACCTGCCTTTCAGGGGAGCAGAGCCTTTGGAATATGGGGCTGTAGTCAGATACTGCACACTCAGACAAGGGTGGACAGGGGCTTGCCTTAGTCACCTGAGTAGACAAACTGCTTTTGAAAAGTAATGTGGAATCTTAGTGAAGGAATTATTAGAGAAACCTGCAGAAAACCTAAAAAATGTTCATTTCTTTTTTGAAATGTAGGTGATGTGATTGTCACAACCCCACACAGTCTTTTGAGACTTCTCACATACCAAAGCTTGTTGTTTCTTAGACTCTGTCACCTGGTTCTGGATGAAGTGCAAATACTGTTTCATGACGCTACTGAGCAAGTAAGTGTGGCCATACTGGATATCATTGCTATCTGTTACATACACATATGTTTCTGAAGTGCATAGAATTAAACTCTACTGCTTTAGGTAATCAGGAAAATATCCAGTTGGAAAATCAGTTTAGAAGAGAAAATGTTTTCCTTAAGTTTTCCTCCTCATGTTAAAGTTCTCTTTGAAGAAAAAATTTCCCAAAATGTATTTAATATTTCATTAATACTTCTCATTGACACAGTTTTTTAAAAATTAATTTTATGCCTGTATGTATGTAAGTACACCTGTGTTGTACAGTACCTGCAGGGGCCAGAAGAGGGCATCAGATCCCTGGAACCGGAGTTAGGGACCATCGTTAGCCACCATGTCGGTACTGGGAACCAAACTCAGGTCCTCTACAAGAACAGCCAGTACTCTTAACAGCTGAGCCATCTCTCCAGCCCTAGAAGAAGAAGCAGTTTTTATTTAAAGAAAATGGAGAAATAGATGAGCACTTGAGAAAAATTCAACACCTCTAATCTTAAACTCAGAGTTAGTTTCTCTACTTGGAGTATTTCTTCCTTTTTAAAAGTGCCTTTTTGTTAATACATACAGTAATGTCTGGAGTCAGGTATGTAGTCTTTCATATGTAGGTTTTGTAGTTAATAGTATTATGCTATTCTGCAGCATGATTACTATTACTCCAATGATACTGAACCATGTAAGCATAACAATTTTTTATTTTTATTATATTTATTTTAGGTGTATGAGTGTATTGCCTGCATGTATGTAAGTGCACTCATGTTGTGCATTGGCCACGGAGGTCAGAAGAGAGTGTGGATCCCCTCGAACTGTGGTTACAGACAGTTGTTAGCCATTGTGTGGGTGCTGGGAACCAAACCCAGGTCCTCTGCAAGAGCAGCCAGTGCTCTTAACTGCTGAGCCGTTGCTCCATCCCCAGTAACAGCTTATTTAAACCTGTGCCTTATGCATGCTAGGGAAGTGCTTTGCTGCTGAGCTACATCCCCAAATTTTTGTGAAGCATTTATTAGAAGCAGTGTAGTATGCTGACCAGGAGCATTATTTGGGAGTAATAGTTGGCCCAAGGTGAAGCACAGGCTTTGTTACTTATGGGCTCTGTGGGCATCTATGAAGTCTCAGTGCTTATCACCCAGCTGCTGTCTAGACGTGTCATTTTTGTACAGGTGCCTTTCTGAAAACAGAACAATTGGTGTTTCTGTCATCAGCGTGAAACCCTACATTCACACTGCCTGCCTGCCTGCCTGCTGGCCAGGACCTGCTGTTTTCTTTCCTGGCTCCTTCATAAACAGTGGGGTCCTATTAGCCTAGTTCATATTTTCTTGGATACTCAACTTGAACATTAATGCATATTCATTATTGTGTCCTCTTTTTTTTTGATGCAGGGATTCCCTAAAGCCCCAGCTGACCTAACACTCTTAGTAGACCAGGCTGGCCTCAAACTCACAGAGATCTGCCCACTTCTGCCTCCCAAGTGCTGGAACTAAAGTAATAATACCATGGGTGGCATTTCCTTACTTTTAGTTGATGGAGTCATCTTTCTGTAATTGGATTTTGAAGTTTTTAAAGTAAGCATGTTAATCCCTTGTTAGACACAATATACCTATTTACCAAAATGTTTGTGGCGTAATTCCATCCTGGTGAGATTTTATGTTTATTGACTCTAACCATTTTCTTATTTTTAAAAAAGTTTCTTTTCCTTTTTGTCTTTAGGAAGGCTTTCCCCACTCTTAAAACATCAGATGTATAGTCCCTTAATTTTATGTTCTGTCAGACTAATTCTTACTCTCTTGAAATAAAGATTAAATTCTACCAATTTTTTAGATGCTTGCCATATTAGATAACTTTAAAAAAAATGTTCAAGTGGAGGAACGGGAGTCTGCACCACATCAGATTGTGGCAGTGGGTGTTCACTGGAACAGACACGTAGAACATCTAGTCAGAGAATTCATGAAGGATCCCCACATTGTGATCACCGCCCCGGAGGAGGCTGCCCTCTATGGCAATGTCCAGCAGGTGATGGGGAGGGGCTGGTGAGCACAAGGACATAACTCGCATGTCATGGCTGACTGTTAGATAAGAATAGTTGTGTTTTCATATGCAAATCTCTAATTGTGAGTTAAATTTATATCAATATCCTATTCATCTCTGTTAGAACAATACTTTAGCAAGGAAGAGTGAGATTGGTGTACTTTGAACATTCAGAAAACACCTGTTTCTGTATTTCACTATCAGATAGTGCATCTTTGCCTAGAGAGTGAAAAAACCTCTACCTTGCTGCAAGTTCTTGATTTTGTTCCAAGTCAAGCCCAGAAGACTTTGATCTTCACCTGCACAGTAGCTGAAACAGAAATTGTGTATAAGGTAAACCTATCCTCATCTCAAGACATTTTCAACATTCGTTTAAGTCATAGCTGAATCTGGAATGATCTGAAAAGGGGTAGTTGAGTATGTGTTTGGGAGATTGAGTTAAGCAATCAAAAGGGAAGGGGGCTGTGTGGGGGAAGCACTGAAAGCAGGGACCTGGCACAGAGCAGGAGCCTCACAGGGTTCAGCCTGTCCAATGAAAAGGGAGCAGTGCTGTGTGGCTTTATCAGTGGTGAAGTATGAATGGATCTGGTCTGTGACAAAACATCAGTGCACTCTACTTAAGAAACCTGAGTAGCTTATGGTAAAGACACTGTCGTGCAGCAGAAACACCAAATAAATTGGCTAAAGATTTATTCTGCTTAATATGGTTCTGTAGATACTCATTCTAAAATGCAGGAACAAAGAAACAAAAACAAATACGGAACTTAAAAATCAGTCTTTCCATCATGATAAGCTAGAGGGTATAGAGGATACAACTTAAAACCCCTTATTGACAATAGTACCGCATATTTGATGTACACACACAACACACACACACACACACACACACACACACACCCTATTTATAATATTACCGCACATTTTATGTACACACACAACACACACACACACACACACACACACACACACACACACACGTTATTTAAAAGTAATGGAAGTAGATTGAGCAAATGGTATTTTGCTTAAAGTGAATTTTTAGATGAAAACTAAAGAACTTTGAGAATATACTTGTTGAAGTTGGTAGTCTCATCTGGAGACTTATGCTATCCTGGGTTATTTAAAGTTGCTTACATTGATAAGTGTTGCTGGAACTCTTGACTTCAAGCTTACATGTTCCTGACTCTGACCTGGTACCTCCTTTGATTTCATCTTTAGGTAGTAGAAAGCAATTCAATATTTTGCTTGAAAATGCATAAAGAAATAGATTTTAAGTTAAAAAGTATTTTAGAACAGTGGAAGAAGCAGCTAAGTTCTGGCTCTCACATTGTTTTAGGTGAGTGTTTTAACTTCTATTTGTATTTAGAGATGGCTGTGCTAATAGGGATCATTTATCTCATCTTCAGATTCCTCATTACTTCTCATGCTTACTCAGAATGTATTAGTAATCTTAATTTCAAAGTGAAAATTGACCTCCACTAGAGTTCTGACAAGGTGAATCTAGGTGCCCCTAGGTCTCTCAGGTTAGCAGACAGTGAGTGACCCTTCATCCAGAAGTTCTTCCTGGAGTTCCAACTTAAAGATTCTGTCCTGTATGTAAAATCTACACATGTAGTCTATAAAGTCTGTCTGCCTGCCTGTCCATCTATCTACGCATGTACCTGTAGTGAAGCATTATCATAATATTATTGTGGTGAATATAGAAATATAAAGGATAATGTATATATGGACAGCCTGGAGTTATGATAGAAAAAGGTATTTCCAAGCTAAAAGGCCACTTTTTCCTGGAATTTAATTGTCTAGGCTATAGCATTTTTTTGTCAAAAATGAGAGAGACATGACATTACTTTTCATTTAAAAAGTATGATGCAAAAAAAAGTGTGATGCAGGCGGTTTAGTGGTTGAGCACTTGTTTAGCATTCATGGGTTCAGTCCTCAGCACCTCAAATAAAAAAGTAGAATATAATACAGAAATGTGCTGCATTTTGGGTGCTGGGCCTGCTTCTTAGCGTACATGCAGAAAACTCCAATTCATGGGACCTTGTGGACATCCTTTTCTCTAGCCTTAACAGATGACTGCATACCCCTCCTGGCCATCACTGATGCCAACTGTGTAGTTCACTTCGGCTTCCCGTCCTCACCTAAAGTTTTTGGTGGACGCCTGTATTGCATGTCTGATCACTTCCAGGTTTGATCCATTTTTATTATCTTTATTCTGTTATCATTTCTGTGTAATAGCAGATTCAGAGCCCACAAAGCTTCATGGAGATCAGATTAGTATGAATGATCTTCTTTTATTCACCCCCAATTTTAAGGGTTCTGCAGAGCAGGGAGATAAAAAAACCAAATCTGTCCTGCTGCTAACGGAGAGAAATGCAAGCCATGCTGTTGGTGTGGTGCGATACTTGGAGCGAGCAGATGCCAAAATCCCATCAGAGCTGTATGAGTTTACTGCAGGGGTTCTGGAAGCCAAAGAGGATAAGAAAGCCAGAAGACCGCTTTGTCCATTTCTGAAGGCATTTGGCTTTTGCAAGTAAGCCAGTGCTCTTTCTAAAATTGAGTTATGGCATGCATTAAAATTCACAGGCAGTAAGTTTGCCACTTGATGAAAATGTCACATACCTATGCCCTTGTGTGAACTTCCACTCATTCAAAGGGAGCACCCAGAGGTTCCTACGAGGTCTTTTTGAGGTACCCTCTTCCAAAAGTGATTATCCTTTCATAGCTGTCATTACCATCAACATCTGGTTTAATTTATATTTTATTTTGAGTTTTTTGTTGTTGTGGTTGTTTGAGATAGGCTCTCACTATACAACTCTGGCTGTTCTGGGACTTAGAAGAGATCTGCCTGCTTCTGCCTCCTGAGTGCGGGGATTCAAGGCAAGTGCCACCATGCCCAGCACTTTTTGCTTTTATTTTTAATTAACACATATTAATTGTATGTATTAGTGGGATCTGTGTGATATTTCACACATACACACAGGGTGCTACACTCACCAAATCCAGCTTCTCTTTTCTGCCAACCTTCCACATACCCTTCCTAATCTCTAGTAATCAGAACTCTACTTTCTAGTCAACTTTTTTTTTTCATTTCCACATGTGAGAATACAGTACTTGCTATTCTGTGACTGGATTATTTTACTTATTTCTTCTATTTCCACTCATTTTGCTACAAACGACAAGACTTCATTCTTCATGACTGAATACTACTACACTCTCTGTGTGTACGCCACATTTTCTTTATCCGTTCATCCATTAATGGGTAGTGTATTCATTTGGTTTCTGTTATTGTGATAAATGACTCTGCCTGAAAGCAACTTAGGGGAGGAAAGCAATTTAGGGGGATTTATACTTCAGGTCACAGTCCAGCATTGTGGGAATTAGGGCAGGTACTCAACCACAAGCTGAAAGAGTAACCATGGAGGAGCACTGCTTACTGGCTTGCTCTCTGGCTTACGTGTAGCAAGATAGCTCAGGACTCTCTGCCTAAGGATGATACTGTCCACAGTGTGCTGGGCCTTCATATATCAACTAACTATCAAGACCGTGCTTCACAGACATGCCCACAGGCCAGTCTATGAGACAGTTCTTCAGGTAAGGTTCCCTCTTGCTAGGTGATTCTAGGTTGTGTCAAGTTGACAATAAAAACTAACCAAGACAACATAGTCTGAGTCTATATCTTATGGGGTTGCTTGTTTTTAATTCTATATACATAGAATTATAGTGTGTAGGTTTTTTAACCCAACCTAAAAGCAACATTTGTCTGTGTTGTATTATCTGTATTTTACTTTATATTGTGGCTCAGTATTGTGTTCTGTGATTATATTGCAATGTATGTGCCACTCTTCAGCTAACAAGGCTGTGGTAGTTTTCATTTGGGGCTTTTATGTATGGAGCTGCTTTGAAAATACTCATACATGTCTTTTTGTGGAAATATGTATGCACTTCTGTAGAGTAGATACAAAGGAATAGGTTTTTACATCATGGGGTAGACATATGTTGAACTCTCTCAAAATGGTTGACTTGTACAAAACTGTCAAGAGTGGAGGAAATCTGAGTTGTTCCATCGCCTTTCCAGTGCTTAGATTCATGGAGGCGTGATTTTAACTAGTGTTTCCATAACGATAAGTGGTGTGGAATATCTTTTCACATGTTTGTGAGACATTTGACCATCCTCTTTTTATAAAATCTTTGTATTTATGTCTTTTCTACATTTTAATAATAGAGGCATTTATCATTTTGTTCTTGGCTTGTGGGAGTCATTTACATATTCCAGATATGATTGCTTTCTCTGGTACAAGTTGAGCAACCACAATCAAAGTCTAAAAGTTTTGAGCGCTTATGACTGTATCATTTGTATGGATAGGGAGCGGCTTTCCTTGTCTACATGTAGTCATCTGTTCCAGCACCATTCATCTAGAACACCGTGTCCTCCCTTCTTGAAGGCACTCTTGACTTAAGCCAGATGATGGGCTTTATGGGCTGTTGGAAGATGCTGTTCTGTACACTGCTCCTTGTGTCTGCGCCATGCTAACTCTATTTGCAACTTTATGAAGGCATATGGCATTTACTCCTCTAGATTTGCTCCTGTTCAGGGTGGTTTCAGAGCATTCGCATCTCGACATACATTTAAAATAAGCCCTCAGATTCTCAAAAAGCCTAGCTGGAATTTTGGTATGGATTACCCTGATTCTGTAGATCAATTTGAGTATCCTAACAATCTAGAGGGATCTCCAGATGTGTTGTAAATGGACAGCCAGGGAATCGAAGTTTAATAATGTATCTACTGGATCAAATTTAGTGTCAAGGTAACTTTTTAATATATGGTACACTAAACTGCTTATTAGTACTGGTTTTCATTATGCATTTAAATGGATTATTGACTTTTTAAACTAGAACTTCAACTATTTCTTAGTTTGGAGGTGACATAGTTAAGGAAAGACTTGTGGCTTAGAGGTTAATTGACCTTTATTACAGATCATGATGATATGTTTCTAAGTATTTTGGTAGTACATTGACATAATGCATTTTTAAATGTCTAGAAACATAATAAAGAACTCTGTCCTTTAAGCTTATTCCGTGTTGATTAAATCATAGAACTTTTTCTACATATTATTAGCATCATTTGAAGTATTTGACGAGGCTATTTAACATTTAAGACATTTAGAATAAAATGTTTCTGGTTACAGCTGCAGTTCAGTTTTCTGGAGAATGTCTAAAATTCATGTTATTGTTTTCTTCCTATTTTAAAATTTTGTCATTTTTTTCAGAGACAAAAGAATTTGCCCTGATCGACACCATATGAACCCAGAAATGGACATGCCAAGAAAATTATCTAACAAAGCTCTGCCACTGTTTGGAAACATTAGAGTAAGTGCTACTGACATCTTTTGCCTAATTCTTAATGGTCATTTTCATGAAATTGTTTTCTAAGCAATAGACTCTTGAGTGCAACATAATTATGACTTCTAATTAGTGTACTACTTTCCATTAATCTGATAGCAGGGGTGAACGGGTCCTTAGATGCCTTACTTCAAGACCCAGTCTTTTATATAAAACCAAGAATGGCCAGGTGTGGTGGCACACGCCTTTAATCCCAGCACTTGGGAGGCAGAGGCAGGCAGATCTCTGTGAGTTCAAGGCCAGCTAGGGCAACAGGGAAACCGTGTCTCCAAAATAACAAAAAAACAAAACGAAATAAAAAAAAATAACAAATTGGGCAAATTGATGACAATTTAGAGTTTGTTTTCCAATTCTAATTTTTTTAACGTGTATGAGTGTATTACCTACATGTGTGTAAGTGCACCCATGTCATGCAGTGCCCACGGAGGTCAGAAGAGGCTGTCAGATCCCCTGGACCTCGAGTTAAGGACAGTTGTTAGCTGCCATGTGGGTGCTAGGAATCAAACCTGGGTCCTCTGCAGAAGTAGCCAGTTCCCTTAACCACTGAGCCATCTCTCCAGCCCTCCAATTCTAATTTTTAAAATGTTATTTCCATCTGGAGGCTATTAAGTTCTACAGTGATAACATGAAAGCTTCTAAACATTCATGCTTATTCCTGTGAAGAAAACCTGAGATACCGATGGAATTAATCCCCGAGTTAGAATTTAGTCGTTTTCTTTCAAATCCCTCTTTTAAATTCTTTAGTAGTAGTAGTAGTAGTAGTAGTTGTTGTTGTTGTTGTTCTTTTTAAGACAGGGTCTCCCTGTGGCCCCAGCTGACCTGGAACTCACTATATAGACCAGGCTGGCCTTGAACTCATGGAGATTCACCTGCTTCTGCTTCTTGAGTGCTGGAATTAAAGGCATGTGTCACCACACCCGGTTCTTCTTCTTTTTTTTTTTTTAATTATTTAAAATTTTACCTCTCTCCCTTAAAGCATTATTGGGGCTGATAGATGGCTCTGTGGGTAAAGGTGCTTACCACCAAACCCAGCGACCTGAGTTCAATTCCCAGGACCCACATAATGGAAGGAAAGAAGCAACTCTCAAGTACTCCTCTGACCTCCACATGCCCACCCACGGAGGCTCACATGTAATTCCTGCCCCCATACACAAATAAATATAATTTTTAAAAGCCACGCTCAAAATCAAACCCACTATATGTTGTATTAGATTCATAGACCTTTTTTTTTTTTTTTTCCCCAGGGGATTCTTTTTGAGACAGGGTCTCTCTGTAACCCCAGCTGGCCTAGAACTTGCTATATAGACCAGGCTGGCTTTGAACTCACAAAGATCTACCTGCCTCTGTCTCCTAAGTACTGGGACTAAAGGTGTACACCACCACGCCCAGCCCTCATCATAACTTTTTGAAGGGCCACCAATCAATCCACTACAGTTTCACTATTGAAAGAGGTTTTTATTCAGCCAGGCTTGGTGGCATATGCCTTTAATCCCAGCACTCAGGACGCAGAGGCAGGTGGATCTCTGTGAAACTGAGACCAGCCTGGTCTACATAGGGAGACCCTGGTTCAAAAAGAACCCCCCCAAAAAAGAAAAAAGTTTTTTTTTCTTTAATTTCTAATTTTTATCATTTCATTTTTAAGTTTTCCTAATTCAAATTTATATTATTCTTTTTGGGGAGATAATGTTGAACATGCTACCCTCTACCACTGATACCCTCCCATCCTGTTTTATTTTATTCTTTTATGTAAAATATCATCTTTAAAATTTTGTTTGCTTTAGACAGGGTCTCACTGTGTAGATGACCTGGAACTCACTGTGTAGACCAAGCTGGCCTAGAACTCAGAAATCCACCTGCCTCTGCCTCCTGAGTGCTGGGATTAAAGGTATGTGCCTCATCTTTTTAATTAATAAGCCAAAAAATGGCTTACTTTGAAATTAAAGGTTACAGTTTTGATGTTTTGTGGCTATTTTTCTGATCGCATTTAAAACAATCTGTAGGAATTATTCTGCATCTTATTCAGTTTTAAATTATATTTTTACATATATTCTTTTTTTTATTATGAATGGATACAAGACTTGACCTTCATATTTTACTGTTGTTCATTGTAACAGAATTCATTTTCCATAAATTTTAGAAGGAGGTATACATTAGAATAACTTTCCTAATTTTATTTACAGTGTTCCCATTTCTGTTATCTATGCATTTATAAAAATAAAATGTACTGGGTGTCGTGGTGCACATCAAGGCAGGCGAATCTCTGTGAGTTCAAGGCCAGCCTGGTCTACATTGCAAGTTCCAGGCCAGCTGGAGCTATAGGGAGACCCTGTCTCAAAGAAAGACCAAACAAAAACTTAAAAAATAAAATAAAATATATGACATAGTGTCTGGCATGGTGACAGGCATGGTGTCTGGCGTATGACAGGTGTGATGATGCATGACTTTAATCTCAGCACTTGGGAGGCAGAGGCAGAAGCAGGCAGATCTCTGTGAGTTCGAGACCAGCCTGGTATAGATAGATGGCAAGTTCCAGGCCAGGCAACATAGTGAGACTCTGTCTCAAAAGGAAAGAAAAAAAAAAAAAAAGCAGAGAGAACTCAGATAACTTAATGGTATACCCTAAGACCTAAAAACATAAGAACAAGCCAAACTCCAAATTATTAAGATTAGAGCAGAAATCAGTGAGATGGAAATGAAAAACAAAATCCAAAGTTTTAATGAAGCAAAAGTTGGTTCTGAAATATTGACAAGATTGACAAACTCTTAGCCAAACTAATCAAAAGAAAGAAAAGGCCCAAATTAATAGAGATGAAAAGAGAGCCATTATTGCCAGATACTAATGAAATTCAGAAAATCATTAGACTATACCTTAAAAACATATTCAAATAAATTAGAAAATCTAAAAAATGAATTTCTAGATGTATATGTCCTACAAAATTAAACCAAAAAGAAATAAACATAGTTATAACAAGCAATGAAATTGAGGTAGTAGTAAAAAAAATAATAAATTTCCCAACTGAAGTTCTGCTCCAAATGGCTTCACTTCTGAATTCTACCAGACCATTGAAGAAGAATTAATACTGGTGCTTCTCAAAGTATTCCATAAAATGGGGAAGGAACAAATGCTGTCAAACTCTATTTTTTTATGTGTATGAGTGTATTGACTGCATGTAGGTAGGTGCACTGGTGTCCTGCAATGCCCGTGGAGGTCAGAAGAGGGCATTGGATTCCCCTGGAACTGGAGTTGCAGATGGTTGTTAGCCACCATTTGGGTGCTAGGAATTGAACCCAGGTCCTCTGCAAAAGCAGCCAGTGCTCTTAACCACTGAACCATATCTCCAGCCCTCAAACTCTTAAAAGCTAGCATTATCCTGATACCAAAACCAGACTGTTGACAGACAGACAGAAAGAGAGAGAGAAACTGAATTATAGTTCAGACTCCCTGAATAAGATAGATACAAAATGCTTGCAAACCAAATCAAGAACACATGAGATCACTCACCATAGTCACATGTATTTTATTAAAAAATGACGGGGTAATTCACCATATGCAAATCAAAAGATACGATACATCCTATAAATGGACTCAAGGACAAAAATCATACAGAACCTCTCACTAGGTACAGAAGAAGCTTTTGGAAAAATCCAACAACCCTATGAAAAAAAGCTCTGAAGAAACAAGGACTTGAAGGAATATATCTTACTGTAATAAAGGCTATCTATGACAAAGCTGTTGGCAACATTATACTTAATGGGGAAGATGAAAGTATGTCCACTAAAATCAGAAAGCAGACAAGGGCATCCACATTCTCCATTCTCATTCAGGATAGTGCTGAAAGTTTAAATAGAGCAAAAAGACAAATAAGCGGCTGGAGAGATGGCTCAGTGGTTAAGAGCACTGACTGCTCTTGCAGAGGACCCGGGTTTGATTCCCAGTACCCACATGGTGGCTAACAACCATCTGTAACTCCAGTTCCAGGGGGAATCTGACACTTTCTTCTGACCTCCACAGGCATTGCACAACACGGGTGCACTTACACACATGCAGGAAATATAAACATAAAATAAAAATAATAAATGTTTTAAAAATAAGACAAATAAGGACACAAATAGTAGGGGAAGAAGTCACGTTATCTGTATTTGAAAATGATTTATTTCTTTACATGAGACCTTAAATACTCAACCAGTCAGCAAAGTGGCAACATACACAATTAATAGACAAGCCAGAAGTCTTCCTGTTTTACAATAACAAACCTGCTAAGGAAGGAATCACAATCATCTCACTCACAATTTCCTCAAAAAAATATCTTGGACTAAACCTAACAAAAGAAAGTGAAATATCTCTACAATGACAACTTTAAAACACTCAAGAAATTGAAGAAGATACTTGAATATGGAAAGACCTCTTGTGTTCATGGATTAGAATAATTAATGTTGTGAAAATTACTATCTTATCCAAAGCAGTCTACACAGTTAGTGAAATTCCCTTCAGAATCCCAACATTCTTCGCAGAAATAGAAAAAATAATCTTAAAATTCATTTGGAAGTACAAAAGACCTTAAATAGCCAAAGAGCAATCCTAAGGAAAAAGAGGAAATCTGGAGGTATCAGCATCCTGATTTCATGTTATATTACAGAGCCATACTAACAAAAACAGCATGGTACTGGCAGAAAAGCAGATATGAAGATCAGTGGAATGCAGTAGAATAGAAAATCCAGATAGAAGGCCTAACTAATTTTTGACAAAGATGCCAAAAATATTCATTGGAGAAAAGATAGCATTTTAACAATTCGTGCTGGGAAAACTCTATATCTAGATGTAGAAGAATGAAATTATAGCCGTGTCTCTCACATATACACAAATCAACTCCAGTAGCCAGGCGTGGTGGCACATGCCTTTAATCCCAGCACCGGGGAGGCAGAGGCAGAGAGAGCTCCGAATTCAAGGCCAGCTGGGGCTACAAGGAGACCCTGTCTCAAAAAGAAAAAAAAAAGGAAAAAAGGCACAATATTCTGAAAATGTTACAGAAAAAGTAGGAGAAATAGACACAGGTAGGGACTTCCTGAATCAGACTGTAGTCACTCAAGAAATAGGGCCAGCAATCAACAAATGAGACCTCCTGCTTCCCTACAGCAATGGAGACAGTTAATTGAGTGAAAGAGAGCCCACAGTACAGGAGAAAATCTTTTCTATACATCTGACAGAAGATTAATATCCAAAATATATGAAGAACAAAAGTACTGAACAAGGAAGCACCCTGTTCTAGTTTCATTTCTGTTGCCATTTATACAACACTCTGACCAAAATCAATTTAGGGGAGGAAAGGTTGATTTCACCTTACATTTCCAGGTGCAGTCCACCATTGAGGGTAGTCAGGGCAGAAACTTGAAGGCAGGTCTGCTATTCCATAGTGTTACTTGTGACTGAGGAGCTCATTCCATAGCCAAAGAAGTTCAGCAGGAACCATAGAATACTGCTGCCCACGCTGGCTTATACTCAGCTGGCTTGCTTATATAAATAGTTCAGGCCTACCTGCCTAGGAATGGTGCTGTTCACAATGGGCTGGGCTCTCCTACATCATTTAACAAGATCATCTCCCACAGACATGTCCACGGGCCAGTTTGATAGAGGAAATTCCTCAGTTGAGCCTCCTTTCTCAGATGATTCTTAGATTATGTCAAGTTCACAGTTAAAGGAAATCAAGACATAACCTAATAAATAAATGGGCCAAGGAACTGAACAGAGGGTTCTCAAAAGAAGAAATAAAGGTGGATAATGAATGTTTTTAAACTGTCTAACATCCTGAGCTATCAGGAAAATGCAAATTGAAACTAAAATTGAGATTCCATTTCCTATCAATATGGCTATCATCAGAAAAACAATGATAACAAATGCTGGCAAGAAAAGGAACCTTAGTCTCTGTTAGGTTTGTGAACTGTTAATAGTCACTATGGAAATCAGTGTGGAGCTTTTCAAAAAAAAAAACTAAGAATTACTAGATCACCCAGCTTGAACTCACAGAGATCAGCCTGCCTCTGCCTCCCAAGTGCTGAGATTAAAGGCATGTGTCACCATGTCCAGCTGATCACAGAGATTCTTACACATCCACATCCACAACAACAAGTTATGTTGTTTGCAGGAAAGTGGAGATAATCATATTAAGCGAATCAAGCCAATCTCTGAAAGACAGTTACCGTGTATTTTCCTCTCATTTGTGGTTCTTAGATTTTACATAGTCAGATAAAATCATATGTGTATATGTAATGAAGGTAGAAGAGAAGTTGTCTAGGGAACAAAGGGGACAAATGGGATGGGGGCAATAGAGGGAGAATGGGATTGAGGGATAATATGCTCAACATATATATATATATATATACTTGTATAAACATTTAAATGTGTATCTTAAAATGAAAACTATATAAGGTTTCAGTAAACAAAGGAACACATAACTCAAATGGAGTTTTAACTTTACTGTGTGTGCAAGAGTAGAGTGCACCTGTAGAGATCAGTTCTCAGCAGTCCATTCTTTCCTGCCACCTTGTGGGCTCCAGGGATTCAACTCAGATGGTCAGGCCTGTACAAGCACCTGTACCCACTGAGCCATCCATTGACCCTAAAATGAGGCTTTTAAATGATGGAATTTACTCTGAAATTACATTTGAACTAAGACTATTTGTGCGTATGGTACTTACTTTGGTTTGGTTGGTGTAGTTTTAGCCTGGTTTATTCCTGGTTTACTCTTAGGTCCTTTTCTGTATACCTTAGGATTTTAGTTCATGTGCTAGTTTCTGCAGACATGGGAAATATGTACATGTTTAGATTGTTTCCTACATATATTTACTATATGTATTTCAGATAGTACCCTTTTACATTTCAAATGCAACAAATTTCTTTGGGCGTATAATCGATAAACATGTGGATCTTTATGCAACTCTTAATATGGAAATGAATGAACATTTTAAGGATTCCAGTAATAAAACAGCTTCTGAAAAAGTGGAAAAATTTGGATTGTATGGATTAGAAGAAAACACACTTTTCCACAGGTAAAATATCTGTTCATCTTATCTCTGAAGTTGTGTGGCATCAAGTGATTTAAGCAACATTGAATGCCTATCTTACCACTGTGTGTTGAATGAGGGTGCATACCATGAGCCAGCCACCTCCCAAGAAGGTGGTGCTGGCACACTGCCCAAGACACTTGGTACATGTGTACATATGAAACTCTGCCAGCTCCTGGGCATAGAGCACAGTGGCCACATTCCCCAAACATTTATTGATCATCACTGCTTGTAGCACACACTCTAACTCATTTAATTTCTCTCAGATTCCTATAAAAGAAGCATTGTCTTTACAAATAAGTCAACTGAGCTGTGGTCTTGTTGAGTAAGTTGTCTAAGGCCGGCTCAGTGGGTGGCATAGTCAGTGTTCCAGCTTGACTACCCAACTCACGGGTTTATTTGTACCCACCTTTGTGAATCCACACAAACAGCAACATTTTGGTGTTAGCCTCGTCTCAGAAACCTTGACTCTTTACTTTGCCATTTTAATTTTTATTAGTTTATCAGATAGAGGGATTGGCTATTCAGAAGTACCACATATTAGATGGTTATATGTACGTTAGTCTACCATTTAAAAACTCCAGGGCCTTTGTCTTTTTCGGTTCTAATGTGGAGTAAAACTTCAGTGTAGCAGTATTATATGCTTTCCATGTGAAGAGTCAGTTGAGACAAAGACGGCTTTCTTTTTGGATTTCCTGATGTCCCTACTGTTCTTCAGGGTTCAGGTGTTGGAGATGAGCCAGAAGGAAGATACCTGGGGCTTAGGGAGTGTTCTGGTAAAGTTCATAGATGAAGGCAGGACCAAACTCATCACAAGAGACCAGCTACTACTGCTCCCAGAGAAGTTCTACACTCTCCCCCCTCAGGCTGTGGAGTTCATTGTGTGTAGGGTGAAGCCTGCTGACAGTGAGATTGAATGGAACCCAAAGGTGGGTTACTTTGCTTTTTATGTTTTGTTGACATATGGAATATATTTCTTCCAGAAGTTACACAGAATTGGTACTAATTTTGAGTGTATACATATGGAAGGATTGCTGTTCTGTTTTTGTTTTTTTAAGGTGGGACTCTCACTGTTTCCCATGCTAGTCTTGGATGCCTAGCCTCAAATATTCCTTCTGTGTTAGCCTCCTAAGTAGCTGGGACTGTAGCTTCTGACATTACATTTAAAGTTTCAAGTTTTGGGGGCTAGAGAGATGGCTCAGCAGTTAAGAACGCTGACTGTTCTTGGAGAAGACGCAGGCTCGAATCCCAGCACCCACATGGCAGCTAACCACTGTCTGTCACTCCAGTTGCAGGGGATCCGACAGCCTCTTCTGTCCTCTGTGGGCATTGCACGACACAGGTGCACTTACCTACATGCAGGTATAACACTCATACACATAAAATAAAAATAATAAATATTTTAAAGTTTCAAGTTTTGGCATTTGCTTCACATTTTTAGGCCATTAAGAGCATGGTGTTCTGAGACCACTGCTGCTATAGGACAGTCCTACCTGCCCCTGCACATGTACCTCAGCACTGAGCTAGAGGTACCAGGGAGTGCTGACATTGTAGCCATTGTCATTGATGCTCAGACTTAGAACTGGTGTAACACAGGTCATGAAAAAAAAAGTATGAGCACCCATGAAATTGAATCCCAAAATGGGACACAGGTCATGGATGATCCCTGGAGAGGCCAGGGGATTCTGTCAGGGTTGAGAGGATGGATACAGGACAGCTGGATACCAGAAAAACCCAAAGGAAGAGACATTTCCTCTGGATGGGACCCTCTGGATTCACTAGGATGTCATCAGTCAGAATAAATAGAATACCAAAAAGAGAGAAGTGCCCATTCCAAGTGGCGTAAACATAGGGCCATCCCACTCAGACTCACAAGGCAGTCCAGCACGTGTGAGGGGCCTGATAGACAGTCCCGCTCATTGCCAGAGCTCTGTTCATGATGATGGTTCTGATTCTTTAAGGAACAGTTAAGTCCTGTGGAAGCAGGTTAATGGCATATGAGATAAGCCATCATGATTAGCAAAGTAAAATTTGGCTGAGTTTTAAATAGGTTAAACACTGTCTAGGAAATAAGTCGGTATCAAGATAGACACAACCTTAGTGTTGTCAGTTTAATAAAAAATAGCCTTTTCAACTGGAAATCATCTTCTTTTGTTGTATAGTATTTGCTTAATGTCCATTGTGTGCCAGTTGCCTGCTGAGTTCTGATCATGTACCCATCAACAGGAAAGTTATAGTTCTTATTCTCATGACCCTTTGGTCTCATATGAAGACAGGCTCTTCTGTGATTTGTTTCCAGTTTGCTCACTGTTCTATGACGAGGACTAGCGCTCTCTCATCCTGCTCTATAGGGATTAAAATAGACATGAAAGATGACTCAGACAGATCTTGTCTGTTCTGGCCCTAATGTAAGGGATAAATGGCAATGGGCGCAGAAAGCAGAGCCCTCAGTTGTGGTGTCACTTGCTGCAGTGCAGCTTTCAGGCCATGATGTCCCCTTGAGCAGCAAGAAGAGCTTCCACATCCCTCATTAAGCTGTCAATGAGATGAACACCCAGACCTGGAAAGCTTTCTGAAAGTTGACTGGGGAGATGGGGTTCCCCAGCAATGATGGGAAACATTCAATATTGCAAATCCAAAGGCCCGGCTCCCACCTATTATCAGAACTCAGTAGCGTGAGATGTTGGGCATGTTCCTGCACTCTTTCACATCTGCTCTTGTTAAACTCTACTGCTACCCTTAATGAGGAAAGGGACTGATGCCTCTTCAACCTCATAGAACTTCTATGAGGCTCAAAAGAAATGTGTGGGATGTTCTGTGAACGATACAGCACATACAGGATGAGATACTTTGTTAAAGCCTCACATGAATAACATTTTTTTCAGGTTACTAGATATATTCATCATAAAATCATTGGGAAAATGCATGAGGCAAAAGTGGTGCTTGCTTTGGGAAATACTATTTGGGTTGATCCAATGGTAAGTATGCAGTTTTCTTAAAAATAAATCTATTTATAAATGGCCCACTAAAATGATACAAATTACTTGGACCTGTTGCTTGAATAACTGTTTACATCATAGCAGTGGAAGCTTATTTGGGAATTGATGTTAGGGGGAGATGTTTTTCATGTTATTTAGATCACGAGTTTGGTGTGGACTTTGTTTTGTGGTAGATTATTTTACCTTACAGTTCAGTGTACTCCATGAGCATTGGGTGTGTAATGCACACACTATCTCACAGTTGAAGTTCATGAACTCTTCCTCGCTACATGTGGCATTCTATAATATTTACAATTCTGTTTTAGTTTACCTTTTCAATTATAAATCATAAATCACAAAGTGGGTTTCTCAGTCCACTGCCCACAAGGTTGAGAAGCTATAGTCAGTGTCTGCTGCCACAGTGCCCACCTTTTCTAGTTTTGTGAATGGTCCCTAAAATCCTGGGATATGCCCAGTGATATTGATGATTCAGTCCTTGGGCATCCAAAGCTGCATTTATTATGTTCACAATTTCTACCTCATTTCTTTAATGTATTTGTTGAGCTCCCACTATGTGCTAAGACCATTACTGGTTCCTGTGTTCCATCTGTGAAGAAAAGCAGATGAGATCTGCTGGCATATGGAGCTGATTATGGAAAGTGACATAAAAGCTCCTGTGTCACGAGGCCTGTATGACACTATCCTCATACTTCAAGAAGTCTACAAAGTTTTGCTGCGTTAGACAAATCTTACTTACTATGATTGCTTATCATAGGTAAGGGAACTCAGTTCCTGTTTTCTTGAAAGTAATTTTTATTAGGTTGGAAAAGCTTTAACATATTAAAAGGGGGATTTTTGGTATAAGATTTACAAATAAGAAGGAAAAATAGTTTTAGGAGAGAAAATATCAATTACCAGAGCAGGCAAGTAGAGATATTTAAGGACCTGAGGTGGTGTTTCATACTTAGGTTTATAGTTGTTCTTTATTAGATTAAAAAAAAAACAGAAACTTTATTAAGCAGGGTTTGTTTAACTACAGCTCAGAAAATGAAGCAAAAAAGAAAGAAAATATGTTTGCACTGCTACAAAATGTCTGTCAGTGTCTGCTGGCATGCTAAAGGGGAGCAAACACCCCAGGGTCTCTTCTTCCCTTCCAAGAGCAACTCTCCCTTGACTCCAAGTGAAGGCAGACTTTTCTGTGCATTCTTGGGTGGGAGTGTGTGTCCAGGGTTTGTTTAGGAAGGTGCTCAATGGAGCCAGTCTGTCCTGCCACAGAATGGCCAGTGACCTGTGTCTACACCTCCCCCCACAGGAATCCAACTGCTATAGATTTTCATAGCTTCCTTAAATTGCATAACTTGAGGTGATTTGGTGGCAGAAAAAACAAATGGAGGAACTGGTCTAGAACACAGAACTGGGGCCTTGGCATGAGCCCTTCCAAGGTACACAAGAACTCTTGAGCCTTAAGATCCTCCTTGCTAAAGAGGCCAAATTAGAGTAAGAAATATGAAAAAGTACATGTCTGGCTTTAGCATTATACAGATTGGTCTGGACTGGGATATTATACCTGGGTTCTACCCCGTACCTCATCATATTTCTGCAGTGTAGGACTGACTTGACTTGAGTTGATTCTACCATTACTTCAGTGGTAGTATCACTACATGCCACAGTGGAAGCCCTTGCACACTGTCATCTGTACCAAGCACCTGACTTACAGAAAGACTGAGAACCCCTGTAAGAGTACTCCTGATCAGTTAGGATTCCAAGTGTGCCAGGTGTAGTGGTGCACACCTTTAACCCAGCACTCAGAAGGTAGAGGCAGGTGGAGCTCTGAAATCGAGGCCTGCCTGGTCTACATAGCGAGTTCTCGGCCAACTCTGGCTACAGGGAGACCTTGTTTGAAAAAAAAAAAGATTCAAAGTATTATTCCTACAAATTGTACTTTTTTTTTCCTTTGGTTCAAGGTGCACATTACAAAACTTTCAAATCTAAAAACGTCTGTCATTGAATATAACGTTCGAACTGAAATTCTGTCCATGGGAATGGGTATTGATAATTCAGAGCATGTAGAACAACTGAAAAAACTATACGAAGAAGCTAAAATGCCAACTTTTGAGGACCTTCTAAATCAGACCTTGTAAGTTCATTTCTGTCTTCCTTTTAGAAAAGCTTTTTTATTTGATGGAAACATAACTCACAAGTGTTAAGTTAGATGCATTACCACCTTCCCAGCATTCATCTTCAAGAATTACCAAGATTAAAGGCATCTTGTTAAAACTAGACTCACCTTCTATTTTTTTGTGGACTATTATAAGCAAATTTCACATATATTGTTTTATTTGCATCTCTCACAGAAAGAACTTTTGTTAGCTTTTTATTTTCAAATGGCACAGTGTGATGTTTGATAGGTTTTCTAAGGACACCAGCCCAAGCAGGGAAAAGTGAGATGGGGTTCCCTGGCTCTGTACTTTGAATGGAATCATGTGCTTTGTCTTTCATGGCCAGCTACTTTAACTCAACATTGTTCAAACAGTTCATCTATACTGTGTATGAAGCTATAGGTCTTAAGTATTCATTGTTGCATAATGTCTCTTTAAGTGTATTGTGTTTACCTGTTCTGTGTTGACTAGGGATGCGTCCAGATAGGGCTCCCTCAAGTAAGGGTGCGCATTCTCCTGCATATCTGTTGGTGAGTTTAAAGATGAGTTTCTGATAGGGGTTGCTGTTAGTGTTACTACCCATCAGTTCATTTTTATTAGCATATTGTAGGAATAATGGGCTTCATTTCATACAAACATATAATGTACTTTGATCATATCCCCCACTACCCTGTCTTATCCCCTCCTTCTTACCCTTATCCTCTTCCTTCCCCAGATAGTCCCTTTTCTACTTTGACATCTCTTTTTTAAAATCTAGATTCTGCATATGAGAGAAAATATGGAATACTTGTCTGAGTCTATTTCATTTAATATAATGATCTTCATTTCTAACCATTTTCCTACAAATGACATAATTTTCATGATTTTTTTTCTTGGATTTTTTTGAGACAGGGTCTCCCTGTAGCCCCAGCTGGCCTGGAACTTGTAGACCACACTGGCCTTGAACTCACAGAGATTGGCCTACCTCTGCCTCCCGAGTGGTGGGGCTAAAGGTGTGTGCTTATAAGTTCATTCTTTATGATGAGAAAAACTCCACTGTGTATATGAACCACATTTTCTTTATCCATTCACTCACTGATTGGCAGGCTAGACTGATCCATGACTTGGCTGTTGTACAAGCCATATGTATGCCTTTGTACACACCCATGCTTCCCCTCTATACACACAAAATAAATATAAATATTTCCCAATAGAAAGGACAAAATTTTTCAATACCCATATATCATAAAGTCGGTCAAAGAACATTTTGATTATCACCTGGATGTAACTACAGAACCATTTTCCAAAGTGACTGTGCCAGTTTAAATGCCCCATTATGGGGGCTGGAGAGTTGGCTCAGCAGTTAAGAGCACTGGCTACTCTTATGAAGGACCTGGGTTCAATTCCCAGCACCCACATGGCAGTTAACAACAGTCCTAACTCCAGTTCCAGGAGATCCGACACCCTCTTCTGACTTCTGTGGGCATTGCACAACAGGGATGCACTTACACACATCAGGCAATACACTCATACACATAACATAAAAATTATAGGTATTTTAAATGCCCCTATGTGGTTTTGCCAGTTGACTCCAGGGTAAGGGGCCTTGCCACGAAACCTGATTACTTGAGGTTAATCTCCAGAACCCATGTCATATGGTGGAAGGAGAGAATCAACTCCCTCAAGTTGTCCTCTGACATCCATATGTATGCCTTTGTATACACCCATGCTTCCCCTCTATACACACAAAATAAATATAAATATTTCCCAATAGATAGGACAAAATTTTTTAATACCCATATATCATAAAGTCAGTCAAAGAACATGATATAACTAATGTTGACTGTCAGTTTGACAGTGTCTAAAATCACCTAGGAGACAAACCTCTGGGCATATATCTGAGCGAGTGCTGTGTGTTGAGTGTTGAAATGTAGACAGAGTCACCCAAAATGTGAGCAGCCCATGCTGGGGTCTCAGACTAAATAAAAAGGAGAAAGTGAACAGAGCACCAGCATTCATATCTCTGCTTCCTGACTGTTAAGGTAATGTGGCCAGCTGCCTCATGTCCCTGCAGCCATGCCTTCCCTGCTCTGATGGACTAAACCCTGCAACTGAAAGTCAGAATAAATCCTTCCTTCTCTAAGTTGCCTTTATCAGGTATTTTGTCACAGAAATGAGAGAAATAACTAAGACAGAGAGTGACTTCAGAAGGGAAGATAAACACAGCATGTGTGAACACCAAAAGACTTGTACCAAGGGGCTGGAGAGATGACTCATCAGTTAAGAATACTGGCTGCTCTTGCAGAAGACCCAGGTTCAAATCCCTGCACCCATATAGTGGCCAACAACTGTCTGTAACTCCAGCTCCAGGGGATTAGACACCCACTTCATCCTGCTCAGGCATTGCATGACATGGGTGCACTTATATAAGCAGGCAATACACTCATACACATAAAAAATAAATAAAAGGACTTGTACCAAGCTGGACTTGGTGGCTCATGCCTGTAATCCCAGGACTTGGGAGACTGAGGCAGGAGAACTGCTTTGCATTCAAGGCCAGTCTGGGCTTTAGAGTTGAGTTCGAGGCTAGCTTGAGCTGTGAAATCAAGCCCTGTCTCAAGAAAAAAAAACAGATAGATAGATAGAAAAGAAAAAACATACACATAAAAAGAAATTGTGCTTAAAGCTTCTTATCAGAAAGAAAAATATGGACCTGATAGAAATGAGAGCAAAGACTTGAACCATCACTTCGCACTGCAGTTACTAGAGGAACAGCTGCTTGGGTTCAGCTTATTTGCCAGCAGGAAAGATGAACTGAAAGCCATGGCGAATAACAGCATTACATACCCACTTGAAGGGTGGAGTACAAAGAATCTCATTAGAAGCACCCAGCTTCTCTGGGGGATAGAGTCAAGGCAGCTGGAGAGCAGTTTCCCTTTAAGGTAGGTAACAGTGAGAAGACACTGAAGTTTAGTTGTGAGTAAACAGAGACTGAAAATTCAGATTTTGGAGACTAGAACAGAGGGTACAAAACAGTACCCTAGCAACAGACACATGGAGTGGCAGGGCAGAGAGCAGGAATCTAGGTAAAAGGAAGGAGAGACTCAGAAACATTAGCACGTCCTTAGCACTCTGCAGAAATACAGCATAGAGAAAGAGGGGACCTGTGTGCCAGTGCTGGCGAAATTCTCTATTTTCAACATTTAATCCTGGGCCTGTGTCAGGAGGCCATCTTAAGGAATTGCGTGTTACAGCTTTGGGAGTCAAAGCTCTCTGCTTTTTCCTGTCTTTGTGGGCACCCATGCAAAAGCCATACACTGATCTAGCAGAACCGGTCTGATTGTAGGGAGAAAGACTTCAAATCACAAGTGCTAAAACTGCTTGCAGTCTGAAGTTGACCTGAGACACAAAAATGAACAAAGGTCTTTTTGCATAAGACCATCAACTTGGGATGCTAGGTACAGTGGGTAGGTAAAGCTGTCAGTGGTTGCAAGTAAATAGATGTAGAAGCCAGGTCTTATAACACAAGTTGGTGTGATGTGATGTGTGTGTGTGTGTGTGTGTGTGCGTGTGCACGCACACACATGCTTATACACATGTAGTGGAGCATGCAGGAGATCCCCTGCTTGCCCCACTCAGTGCAGATGACTACAACCCCATAGCATTTCCCTGCTCTCCCAGCAGACATCTGTGAAACGTGTCAGTTAGCCTTAATTGTCAACTTGACACAGCCTAGAGTCAGTCACCTCAGAGGATAAGCCTCTATTAAGGAATTTTCTAGATCAGGTTGGTCTGTGGGCATGTAGGGATTGTCTTGATTATTAATTGATGTAGGAAGACCCAGTCCACTGTGGGCAGCACCATTCCTCAAGTAGGTGGTCCTGGACTGTATCAATACTGAAAGCTAGTCAAGTGTGTATGAGCTGGCAAGCAGCATTCCTCCATAGTTTCTGCTTCAAGTTTCCGCCCAGACTTCTCTCAATAATAGACTGTCACCTAGCATTGTAAGTGGAAATAAACCCTCTCCTCCTCAAACTTGTTTTTGGCCATGATGTCACAGCAACAGAAGCAAACTAGAACAGCCTAGAGACCTGGAAGTATGACAGTGTCTTCATCAGTGAAGCCATCCGAGTAGCCAGAGGAAATGGTTGCTGGCAGAAATCTTGCTTTCCATTTAAGCCTGTCCCAGGAGCAGGACAACTGAATGAGTCTAACTGGCTCTGTCCACAAACTACTCCCTGCCTGCTAGGTGAAGAACAGAAAGGAGAGAAGAAGGAGGCAGTGGAGCACAGCCAGTGCTTAACAGATATCAGAGATCTAGTTAGTAGCTACTGAGAACTCGTTCCCTTCTACTTTCATGAGTAGCCGTATCACCAGAAAGGAAATCTGCATTTTGTTGTTGTTTTGGGAGGTATTTTTATGTTATTTTCCCAGTGGTCCCCCTTTTAAATTCTTTTAAATTGGGTCATTAAATTGGATCGTGTTTTTTTTTTTTTTCTCTTCTTTCTCATTTTTTGAATTTTTTTCCTTTTTTTCTTTTGGTCTTTTTGAGAACAGGGTCTCCCTGTAGCCCCAGGTTGCCTAGAATTTGCTGTGTAGACCAGGCTGGCCTTGAACTCCCAGAGATCCACCTGCCTCTGCCTCTGAGTGCTGGGATTAAAGGTGTCTGCCACCTCACCTGGCTCTGTTTTTCTCTTTTTTAATCCTTAATTGGATCTTCTCTCTTCATTCTATTTCTGCCCTTCAGTTTTTTTAAATGTTTTATTCTGTTTTTATTGCCATTATCTTTATTATCTTTTTAGTTCCTTCTATATTATGTTTGCCCCTCCTTTATTGTTATTGGTGTTATTGGAGTATGCTAATTGTTTTTAGTTGGTTAATACAGTATTTTTGTATTTGGTTTGTTTATATATTGCAGTTGTTATGGGTTTGGCTTCTTTCTGAGTGATGCTGGGCATAGAGCTCAGTGCCTTAAGCATGTTAGGAGGGTGTTCTGCTTCTGTGGCTCCACCTTCAGTCCAACTGTGAGAAAACCACACCTCAGTCCAGCCAGTTTAGTCCTACCCAAACTTTTGGTGAATACTTCACCTTCAAGAATAAGGAAGATTCTGAAGGGGGTGAGGTGAGATGGCTTGGGCAAGTGGTCATAGCCAGGGTCAGAGGGAGGAGGATAGGTTCTGGGCACTACCTGATGGAGAAGCCACTGAACTGAGTGGTTGTTAGGCCATGGGGATTGAGATTCTGAGATGCAATGACAAAGGGCATTGACACAGTGGGCAGGGGGAGATGTTTGGGTAGGGACAGCTCGTTGGAGAGGAAGAGACCCAGTGCTTGCTTTAGGACATGGTAAGTTTTAAGGTTATTGAAAGGAAAAAGGTAGCAGTCAGGAAACAGCTAGGAAAAAAAGGCCTGCTGGTACCTGAGGGTAAAGATAAGGTGTGTGAAAGGGGGCAGACGTTGGAGGGGGGAGGGGTGTTTTCAGTGTAGGAGGCCAGCACTTTGGTGATGGCAGCAGAGACCTTCTGCAAATGCTAGAGTTGTGACCCAGGTTTATATTGATCAGAAGCTTCCTGGAGACAAACGAGCCACCTCACTTCTTGGGAGCTACACCTGTGTCTTATACAGTCATGCTCCTGGAAACTTTATCTCTAAAAGGCTTCAGAAAGGGAAGTACATTGTTACTCACAAGGAAGGGAACTAGGTGGCTGGAGAGCAGGGGTGCGAGGAAGATTTTTCCCTTGTATTGATCTTTTAAAGTCTGAACTACATGACTGGTTATCTGCTCAAAGAAGTAAGAGAATAGTGTCGCTTACATATTTTTTAAAAAGAGTGGCATAGCCATCTGACTCATGTAATGTGCAGTTAACTACTAAGTATAATCAAACAAAGGGTGTTATATTGGATTTAGTATGTTTCTGTGGGCTTAAGAAAGATGTAAATCAAAATATTTTCCCTTTTTTGTGGAGGTCTGAGTATGTAGCCAGGCTGGCCTCTAACTCTCAATCTTCCTGTCTCATCAACCTGAGTGCTAGGGTTGTAGATGTGTACTGTCTCCCTCCCTCCCTCATTCCCCCAGAAATATTTGGTTTTTTGTTAATGCAAAGAATATTTCTAGAGATTGGTTCAAACTGGTAATAGGGTGACCCTTGGGAAGACATCCTAAAACAGACAGGGGAGGAGAGGAAACTGGCTTTGCACCTGTGCCTTTCTATCCTATTTGAATGGGCGAACTGCATGTGCTACTCTTCCCAAAGGTTCCATAAATCTGAAAGAGGTTCCATAAATCTGAAAAGGCTGAGCAGGTAAAAGAGTACCTTTCTCTGACAACATCTGTTCCACAGCAGTGAGTAGAGCTGGCTGGCTCTGCCCCATCACTGCTCATAAGTCACACAGACTCAGTGTAGGTCTGCAGGGTGACAGGCACTTCAGTTGTTTAATGCCTATGCCCTCTTCTTTGGCCTGAGTTTCCTGAAGTCCCAGAATTAACCTTTGCCTCTTCTGTTCAGGACACCTCTTTCAGCAGAAGATGTCATGTGTCTGCAAGACCCCCAACAGGAAGACAGACGTGCAGGAGGAGGGGCTAGTTCCAAGACAGATTTAGACAACCAAAAACCTGGTTGGTACTTGTACTTGAAAGATTATTAAAGATTGATTGAAAGATTGTCAAATCATATAATTCCCCCATGTTTAGGCTTTTACTATTAGATGAATTAGGAGAACACAACACATGGACTGTTCTGGGTTTTGGCAGCTCATCTTCAGTGGTGGTTTCTTTGCAGCCATTTTCCATTTGTTTTTGAGGCATAGTGTATATTTAGTGATGGGACTAGATGCTAAGGGGACAGCTTATCAGGCTTGTCCATATGCATGTGCCCCTGTGTGTGACACCAAAAGCCTACCCCAGCATGGGTGACAGCTCATGGAAATAGGGAACCTGGAGTGCAGTGCACAACCTGCAGGCAGCTCAACAGGTTGGAGAGCAGTTCAGGTTGTTATTTCAGCTTGTCTGAGAGTGTCTCTAAGCAGTCCTCATTGCTGTGTAAGCCTGAGGAGCTGAGGAGGCAGGGAGGGGCCTAGTAAATCTGTCAGTTTCAGAGACTTCCTGAAACTTTTGAGTTATTTACTTGCTGAGCTTTAAGGAGCTCCTGTACAGGATGAACTGCTTCACCTCCCTGCAGCTTAAGGAGCTTCTCTTCAAGATGGAATGTTTTATTATGGAGGAAATTGCCACACAATGTTTGTCCACACCCAAATTGCACTAACTGATCAAAAGGTTCCAGAACCTTCCCCAGTGACCACAGTTATGATCCTGATACCACTCGTTTTGCTGAGTTAGAAGCATGTAGTGTGCACTCCTGTGGCTTCCTCCAGTCTGTTATGTCTATGAAATCCATCTGTAGTATTGCAGGTAGTTACCTGGTAGATTTTTTTTAATTGATAAATTGTATTCAATAATGTGGATATACTACAATTTTTGGGGAGACATTGGGGTTGTTCCTCAGCTGGGGCTTTATGATTAAAGCTACTTTAAAACTTTTTAGCCAGGCATGGTGGTGCACTCCTTTAATCCCAGCACTCAGGAGGCAAAGGCAAGTGGATCTCTGTGAGATGAGCAGCCAGCCTGGTCTACATAGCTAGGACCAGGCCAGTTGTGGCTACAGAGAGCCACTGTCTCAAAAACATCAAAAACAAACAAATAAACTTTTCTTATTTACTGGGCATGGTGGTGCATGCCTTTAAAACCAGCACTTGGGAGGCAGAGGCAGGCAGATCACTTGTTAGATTGAGGTCAGCCTGGTCTACATAGCAAGTTCATGGCCAGCTGGGGCTGCAGGGAAATACTGTATCGTACTAGAGTTGGGTAGGGGGGGTGCTTTGAATGAAACCTAGTAACTTTAAATATTTGAGGTAGAGAAGTTTAACTTGTACTGTCTTAGAAAATGTATGTTCCCTTCTTTGTGTTGACTTGTGGTAGTCATCTCCAGCAGGGTTTTCACAAGCTAGGGGGCACCAAGATGCTGGGGCATTGTGTCCTATGGCCAGCCATTGTAATGCAGTTCCTCTTCGGTAGGCCAACTTTATTTTCTTGATTAGTTAAGTTTAATATTTTAAGGCTTACTTTTAATTTTAGAATATTATGTTAGTGTTTTAATATAGTTTAATGTATTTTAATGGCAAACAGAGGAACAGCACAAAAGACAGACAACATTAAAAATCTGCACTTGCATGTAGGAAGACTCAAAAGTATAGTGAATGGATGGAATCTACTGTATGATTAAAAAAAGGGCTACAAACACCATTTAGTTGCTGTCAATAAGAAATTTACTTTTTTAAAAATCCAAATGCTGGCATAGTCCAGAAAATTTTAACAGGTTTATTTATAATTGTTATAAAGTTGAATTGTTGAAACTCGTTCACTGAAACATTTTGATTTGAACTAACGCTTTACATCCCTCATTTATATTAAAAATTCACACACAAATGAAAATGAAAAACTGCCAATACCCGATTTCTATCCCCTATTTTCCACTTGCAGTCATATACTTAGGTACCTTTTGACCCCATGGAAAAAAATATTTAACATTCAGAACTACTGATAACAGGAAGAAGAGGAAATTTTTTTTTTTTTTAGAATGAAATGCTTCCCCTCATAGTGGATTCTTAAGTACGTTCTCTGAGTATGAGGCATGCTACCTGGCTGTCTTTTGGCATAATTGTTACATGTTTGGCATGGATAGCACACAGGTTGGTCTCTTCAAAAAGGCCAACATGATAGGCCTCACTTGCCTCCTGCAAAGCACCAATAGCTGCACTCCGGAAGCACGGATCTGTTTTGAAGTCCTGAGCAATTTCTCACCCCAGACGCTGGCAGGGGAATTCCTGAATCAGAAGTTCAGTGCACTTCTGATAAGCGTCTAATTTCACAGAGTAGCAGGCCTGTGACCATGAGGTTCTTCACCCCTCCAGGAGAGGGCACACTCTTGCGAGCAGCTTTTGTAGCCACTGGTGGATTTGTGGGCAGTCTGCTTTGTACAGACACCTCCTTACTTACCTTCTTTCTTCGGCTGCAGCTCGGTGAGCTAGAGGCTGCGCTGGAGTCAGAGAGAGCCTAGAATATTATGTTAGTTTTATGAAGCGATACCAGTTTTTATAATTAGTCTTTAATTTTGATTTTGTACAGAAACTTTATCTGAAAACACTGGAGATGTTTCCATTAGCAAAAGTACACACCCACATGTGAAGAGGTATGTTCATCTATTGCTGGGACACCCCACCCCTTGGACTATGTGATGTACCAACAAGTGTATTTTCCTTTTTTGTAGCTTTCACCCACAAGTAAAGTGGTTCCAAAAAGATGATGTTGTCATCTTAGAAATAAGAATAAGGAATTTCAAAGACTATAAGTGTAAATTCTTTACAGACAGAGTCATTTTCAGGTAGGCATGTGTATATCTGATAAAGTAACATTGAAATTATACATTTTAGAAGGCTGATGTTATTTCTTCTTGTAAACCTAGTGCCTGGGTAGGAGACAAATTTTACTTGGCTGATATGGAGCTGCAGGGCAACATAATAAAAGATGACTGCAAGTGTGTCATTAAAGGTGACGAGCCTCTAATCACTCTTGTGAAAGAGAAAAGGACATCTTGGTGTGGCTTACTCAAACAGAGGGTGAGTTGAAATGAGCTGACTGGCTGATCTCAAAGGTGAGTGTGCCAGTCTTCACTGATTGTGGAACTCTTGTGTTGAACAGAATCCTAATGTGTCTTTTGACTTTGACCACTGGGAGGATTGTGAAGAGGACAGCCCCTTCTCCAAGGGTAAGATGGTCAACCCTGCTTTTGGTGGGGGTGGGCCGCACAGTGCAGGGCAAGTGGGTGGATGGAAAAGCTGATCTTCGGGATTCGGCCTTTGTGGACATAGGCTGTTAATGTAAAGCCTGTAGACATTGTGGTTGATCTTGGTGCTAAATTTTCTAGAATGGGTTGTACTAACCTTTGGTTAAAAAAAATGCTTCTCTGAGATATTTTGCAGGGTTGGAATTTAGGGCTTCACGCCTGGTAGGGAAGTGCTGTACCACTGAGCTACATACATCCTCAGCCTCTAAAAGCACAGCATATAAACTCCTATGATATTCTTCCTAGGAGAAGTATTTATTTACAAGGAGTAAAATTTTACCTGCTTATTGTTTTCTTAAATATTTTGCAAGATAGCCAGACCCAAAGGACATTTGCTACACAGACCAAATTAATGGGGGAGAAGGGAGATAGATGTTAGTTACCCTGTACTTAACATTTTTAATAACATCCAACTCTTCTAGTTGTACAGTCTAAAAGCCCATCCTGCAAAGTGGCAGAGGTGACTGGGAACAGTAGCAGCTCTTCAGACACTTCTGACGGCAGTGAGAGTGAATGAGAATGTGAATGAAATCACAGGAGTGAGCAGAAGACTGACAGTGGACAGCCTCTGTGGCAGAAAGTTAAGAGAACAAGAGGTCATCTAAAGCTTCATCACCTGGGGATGAACTAGTATTGTCATCTTGTGGCACTGGGTTGGATAATGACGAGAATTGTTTGCTTGAGTTAAAAATAGGTTAATGGAGCTGGGCATGGTGGTGCACACCTTGGGAGGCAGAGGCAGGGAGATCTCTGAGATGGAGGTCAGCCTGCTATACATAGCAAGTGCCAGGCCAGCTGGGGATACAGAGAAACCCTGTCTCAAAACGACAAAGAATAAATAAATAAATAAATAAATAAATAAATAAATAAATAAATAAATAAATAATATATGTTAATGGTCAAGATTATCAAAGGAGAGTAGAGGTGGGGTCTGGAATCAAAAATTTGGAGACACATGATCCCAGCACTCAGGAGTTTGAGGCAGGAGTATTGCAAGTTTGAGGGCAGCTGGCTATATGGGAAGATTCTGTCTCAAAAACATTTCTTAGTGAATGTATAATACAAACCTAGCTTATATACAGTGTGTCCCAGTGTTGCCTTTCCCAGCTCATCCTGATCTACTTAGCTTTGAGCAGCAGAGAGCAAACCGTGACATTAGGTAACAGATTATACGGTGTGGGGTTAGTCCGCTCATTTGCCATTTAGACCTTTGTGTGTTACACTTCTCAAATGTAACCTGACACATACAGACTGAGGTTCCCACCTTACAAATTCTCATACCCAGCCTCTGCTTATCGACCCCTTTCACCATGACTTAGATGAGATTTGTTGTCACTGTGTATAAGTATTCATATACGTTCCAGATACTAATAGCTGCTAAGAAAAGTTGACCTCAGTGAGACTAAGTGACCCAGTGTACATGCACAGTCCTTTTCAGATGGGGCTGAAGTTTCTTTCAGAAATTTAAAAAGGAACTGTGCAGTGCTGTAGGTAACCTTTAGGATACCCAAATGAGGTGAGTCCTGAAAACACTAATGACAATTTTTGGGTGAGACTGTAGCACCGGGGCACCAAGGTTTTTGGGAGAAGTTTATGTAGTTACACTTAAATGTCACTGAGAAAGTTAGGAAGATGAGCCTTTGGGAAGTTTGAAACCCCGTGCACTTCTCGGTATCTATCTGTCAGCTTCTCCTATAAGTGGAAAGAACAATAAAACAGCACTGAGTGCCCCCAAGAATTTATTCATTTTTAAAAATATTTTATTTTTATTTTCTGTGTATGAGTGCATTGCCTGCATGTAGGTAAGTGCACCTGTGTCATGCAATGCCCACGGCGGACAGAAGAGGCTGTCAGATCCCCTGGAACTGGAGTTACGGACAGTTGTTAGCTGCCATGTGGGTGCTGGGAATCGAACCCTGGTCCCAGAACAGCCAGTGTTCTTAACCGCTGAGCCATCTCTCCAGCCCTAATTTATTCATTTTTACATCAGAAAGGATAGCTGTTCAAAATTAGGTGTGATGGCCCAAATCTGTAATCCCAGCACTTGGGAGGTAGAGGGAGGAAGATCAAGGAGTTCCAGGCCAGCCTGGGCTATATGAGACCCTGTCTCAAAAAACTGAAAAAAAGAACAACGGATGTCCAAATTTCAGTACTTCTAGGAGTGAGCCACTGTGTGAACCGAGGCAACTCTCAGCTAGCTATACCAAGAGCAAGGCGACCAACTCTAGCTTTCTGTTTCCTCATCTGTAAAATAAGTTCATATGCAGCCAAAGGGAGAGCCCAGAGTGTTGTAGTGTGGGCACCTGGCCTGCACAGTAACTGTGGTGATGATCAGACCAGCCCCCCCAGAGGCTAGCCAGCCAGGGGAAGCCGCCAGGAGCATGTCCTGCTGCCACTGTGATCCTCAGGCTGGTTGGCAGGTATCAAAGTTTCCAGAAAGTAAGGCAGCTCTTGAGGCAGCAGAAAGCATGGTGTCGCTGGAACCATTCATCTGTAGAGCTGGTCTTTGTCCATGTTCATTTGTACAGATGCAGGTCTACCCAGCGGGTGGAGGGCTGTGGTGGTGCCAGGCCTCCTGAGCCACCCTGTGCATACCCAGGTGCTACCCTTTGCACTTAGCTGCATTGAGCCTCGTGACTAACAGTGGCAAATACCGATGTTTCTTGATGCAAGTGGCAGACTGTCTCAGAAGATCCAAGGAAATTGTGTGGCAGGAGCTGTGCTTAAATCACAGCTTCTTTCTGATGGACAAATTTTCTAATACTTGATCCTTTGAGCACTGTTTTTTGTAGCACATAGGATACTGTCTATGCAAACAGTTAGCTGTTGGTTTTCTATAATGCTATTAAAATGTACTGATTTTATGTTCGGGGTAGATTTGTGAAATGCAAGGTAAAAGTACTTATTCCCATGCTCTTAAAATTGCTTACATCCCCAGTTGTGATATGAACATCTTCGCAGTATATCATAAATAAAGCTTCAGTGTTCTTACAGAAATTTTCTGTTTACAATCACAAAGTAAAATTTTATTCGCCACACTTTCTAGGAACCAGAATGCCAATGAAGATGGGTGGCCAGTGTTGGGGACAGATGGGTGATGCTGACCCCAGGAGCTCCCTTGTACACAGGCTTCCAGAGGTTCTGCTGAACAATCCATCTCTGCAGTAGAATCTTCACGATTGAGCTCAGCACAGAACTGCCCTATGCATAGCAGGTTAAATAACAGGAGTGATGGACACTTTTTAAAAATCTTTTTAAAAATCCATATTGGTCTGGAGAGATGACTCAGCAGTTAAGAGCACTGGCTGCTCTTACAGAGGACCTGGGTTCAAATCCAGAACCCACATGGCAGCTAACAATCGTCTAGCTCCAGTTCCAGGGGATCTGATGCCCTCTTCTGACCTCTACAGGCACTGAATGACATGGTTCACTTATATGCATGTAGGTAGTACATTCATACACATAAAGTAAAAATAATAAAAATAAAATATTTAAAAATCCTTATCAAAATCCAGGCTTTGTGGCACACATCCAGCACATGGGAGGCAGAAGGCAGGCAGATCTCTGTGAGATCAAGGCTAGCCAGGCCTACATAGTGTGTTTCAGACCAGCTGGGGCTATAGAGAGACCCTGTCTCAAGAAAAAACTTTGTATCAATAATCTATATCAATCAAAGCAAAAACTATCAACGCCTTTATATAAAAGAGTGAGCTTTATTGATGATTGAATTTAAAGAATGTTGTTTACAGTACTGGGGAGCAAATCTAGGGCTCTACTACTGTGCTACATCCCCACCATTAGTTACAGTGTAAATATGTGCCCTCATTAATTAGTTCTACCATAATGGTGATGGCTTTTATATATCCCTTCCCTAATTATCAGCCTTCTGTTAGGTAAGATCTCCTGATAACTTCTGTTTAACACCCTTACTCAGAGAGTTAGGAATATCTAAAAATAACAACATACAGCCATCTGAATACATTATTTAAGAAAAGCACCAGGAGCCGGGCGTGGTTGTGCACGCTTTTAATCCCAGCACTTGGGAGGCAGAGGCAGGGGGAAATCTCTGAGTTCAAGGCCAGCCTGATCTACATAGCAAGTTCCATGCCATCTAGGGCTACGTAGTGAGATCCTGCCTCAAAAAAAAAAAGAAAGAAAAAAAAAAACAGGAGGAAATAACCACAAATATTGCTTACAAAAATAAGTTCATTGCAGCTTTGCAGTATGAGTGATGAACTTGTTACTCAGGGTCCTTCTCTGGTGGGACAACTTCCAACAGCATCTGCAAGTGCATAGTGACTGGCCCTGGAACAGAAGCCAAGGGAAAGTTAGAACAATGACTGCAAGCCTTCACTGTCGTGTTCTGACTCTGGTGCTGTGTCACCTCTTAGATCCTGATGTTTGCAGTGAATCAGAACTGCCCTGGTTCTTCAGAGGTAAGTTATTGCCTACCAAAGAATTAGAACCCGTGAAATATTTTATACTTCCCCAAACAAGTTATATACAGGGAAAATCATGACTCAGTTGTGTATATTTACTACTACGTATGACTAGTAGTCTGAAGTCACTAAGACTGCATTTTGTTTAAAATACAATTTGTTCATTTTTCTTTCATCACTTTAGCCTACTTCAATGTTTTTTTCTTTTGTTGTTGTTTTGAGACAGAGTCTTGCTGTGTAGCCCAGGCTGACTTCAAACTTAAGTCCTTGGGCCACAGTGTTAACCTGCAGAAGGTTAAGATCAAAGTAAAAAGGTTAGGGTTGGCTGTTTTATGAAAGGGAGAAGTCCTTGAGGGAAAATACTATCTTCTGCTTTGTTTTCACTTTGTTAATCAACAAAATCAATTTTAGCACCATTGTGAGGTACCAGCTTTTACACCTAAGCAGGCAGAGGGTCTGGAGAGGATCTGGCACTTGCTGAAGCTAAAAATGGTGCCTGAAGTCCAATCTTCCCCACCTTCTAGCCACACTTGGCTTTCATACTACGTGTACCTGCCTTAAGTTGTACACACACAGCACATGGGAGGGCTGGAGGGACATGTCAGAGGAGGTAGTCCTTTTTTTCCCTTTTCTTGTTTGGTTGATTGAGACCGGGTTTCTGTGTTAACCTCCTTCCCAGCCTCAGTGCTGGGATTGCAGACTCACACTGAGTCCAACTGCAGGAGTGCCCAACTGTTGCATGCAACACCCTGTGCTGGGTCCAGGGTTAAACTGCACAGCCCAATTCTTGTCTTCAAGGAACACACAATACAGGGAGGAAATAGGCTAAGGGTCTCACCACTTGGTGATGCTCAGGAGACTCAAGGCTTTTATAAGTGGCATTTGTCACCAAATCTGGTGTACAGGATGAAACACTGACTATTCTATAGTTACAGAGGTATAGTATATTAGTATGCACCAGTCTCCCAGTTCTGGGGAGACTGAGGCAGGAAGATCAAGAGTCAGGGTGCCAGCCTATGCTACATAGTGAGGCTCTGTTTAAAAAAAAAAAAAGGTATAGTTCAGAGTCTCTCTTAATGCAGTTTGGCACAGAGCTTTCTTTTTAGAAACACAAGAGGCTAATGTAGCTAACTTTTAAGCAATGCACGTCCAAACAGCTGAGGATCATGCTGGCAGAATGCAGGGTGACCTGTGACCTCTGTGTAGGGGGCCTCAGGCCCTTGCCCATACCCAGTTCTACTGTCACTTTGGGGGCATCTTTGGGCTGTTACTGGGGCTCTTAGATGTCTACCACATGTCCCTCAAAAGGAAGTGGCGTTCTGGAGAGGAGTCATCTGACACCAGTGTATAGATGCTACTGGGCTGCACTCTTCAACCGTGCTCTAAATGGCAAGTTGTGTGTTAATATGTATGTACAACATGCAAATCGAGTATATAAATGAAAATGGTGCTTTTCTCCTCAATACAGTGGTTGATGGGAATGGAGGATGCCAAGGGTGGAACCCAGAGGGGACGATAGGGAGAGTGGGCCCTATGTCTCCTGAAGAGGGAATATAATGCGCTGGCTGTGAGAGTGCCTGGGATGCACATCCGGCAGCATCAGGATAAGTAGGGGTGGGGCTGCAAGCCTGTGTGTGCCCTAACAGTCCCTTTGTTAATACTTACTGGAGATTTTCTGAGCCCATTTGAACTTGTAGTGGACAAACAGGAAGTAGAATATAAGTCCGCTCAGGATAAAGAGCACACAGTAGAGATACTCCCAGGCAGGCGTACTGATGATTGGGGCCAGAACCAAAAACACGGATACAACAAGCACGAAGATAGGGATGACGATGGGCACCTGCAGGGAAAGTGTCCAGGGTCACTTTGGCATTGCTCATTTTGTTTTAAAACATTAGAAACAGCAGTACAAACATAGATGAATCCAATGGCCTCTGGGTGTTCCTCCTCCAAGAATTTTTACATACTTCTGCCAGTCATTTCACCAACTCCACCTCTATCCTCTCTTGCTAGAACATAAATAGTAGCAGACGCTTCATTTGAACTGTGCAAAGAATTCAGTATGCATCTCTAGCAGATCAGGGCATCCTGCTTAACCTTCCTTATGCCTTACCCTCCCGATCATTGATTTGTTGGAGAAACTGAATGATTTCTTAAATGCAGTGTCGAATTTTAGCTTTGCGTGGTTTCTTCTTCATGCATTAACTCTTTGCTGTAAACCGGCAGTTGGACGGAAAAGAGGGAACACTTTGTTTGGAACACATGGAACCGTCATTTGACTGTGGCACTCTGCAGTTCCTGAGGTGCCTTAGCAGGCATGGGGGAGAGAGTTACCATTGTAACTTTCCTCACCCACTTTTCATAGTCTGGCTAAAGCCAAAGCTTGTATTACTGTTTTTGTTCTGCCTCCACTAATGATCATTGTTAGCTCAGTTTCACTAGGGGTTGCAAAATGGTTCTGTCTTTCTAGAGTTAACTGTCCTGTGTCTGCAGAATTCCAATTATTTGGTTATCCAGTACTGCAGTTTATATAAGAAAGCCCCTTAAGTAGTTGATTCATTTTTCAGCTTTCAGAATGGCAGTTGGGCCTTTGAAGCCTCCAGTGGTGACTCAAAATCACAAATGTGAGTTCATCCCTATGTCACCCTACTTCCTCATGTTCAGAATGTCCTGTGGTGACAGCCAGCAGCCCTTCAGCCAGGCTTCAGACCCTTGCAGTGCCATCCCAGATCTCTTTGGAAGGTGCCAGACAAGACTCTGTCCATCTCTCTAGGGAGTCTTGAATCCTTTTAGTGAGAAAGAGCATAATGTTTAAAGACCACTGTTCAAACCAATAGTCTGTTACTTGGGAGGTGAAGGCGAGAGGATCAGGAGTTCAGGGTCATCCTTGGCTACATAGGGAGTTCGGGCCAGCCTGGGTTTCTGCTCATCTGATAGGTAAGAGATGACATTTCATTCTAATTTTGCATTACGATGTGTTCCCTTAGGCACAAACTTGAGCTTGCTGTGGTCCTTTGGTTTTGTTTTGTTTCGTTTCTTTGAACCCTCCCTTTACTTCATTTTTCCTTATTCTGCTCACCTCAGTTTTTAGAGATTCTTGAAGGCTACTAGCCTTCTTGACTGTGTATTGCAAACATCTCCCCATTGCATTGGTTTCTTTTTTGAAGGGCATGAGTTTTTACTTTATTAGGGGTTTAGCTTTGAGTTTTCCCCCATATTCTGGGTTTTGAGTGATAGGCAAGTTTTCTCCAGTCATAAATTTACAGAGCAATTATGTTTTCTTTGTGCAGCAATCAGTACCATAATATTTAAACTTTGGACCCTTCGTATATTTTTATCTTCTTGAGATGGGATCTTGCTCTGTAGACCAAGCTGGCCTTGAATTCGAACTCACAATCCTCTTGCCTCAGCCTTCCCAGTGCTGGGCTTTCCTATGTGTGCCACCATGTCCAACTGTACCACATAACTTTAAGAACAAGCTCCCTTTCTAGAATTTTTCAGAATATTCTTCCTTGTTCATTAACTCATACATCTCCACAAAATGTATACAGTGTTTTAATTTAGAGAACTCTGACTTCATAGTACTGAGTTTTCCTGTCCAAGAACAATTGTGAATTTGTATTTGTCCAAGTTAACCTTTCATGACTCAGGAATTTCCTACCTAGGTCTGCCTGCTAGGAAGTTAATGAGTGTTGTGGCTCATGGTTTGGTTTTGTCTTGGGAATGAGGTGCTCTCTTCAGTTGATTTTTCTCACTGTTTGTGCTAAGGCTGTTGAGTTCTGTATGTTGGTTTTTAGATCTTGTTGCTTTGCTATAGTTTATTATAGTTTTTGATCCTTTTGGGTCTTCTAGTTATACAGTTGTATTAACTTTAAAATGAAAGCACTTAAGAGACTTTTAAAAGTCTTTTTGCTGAGATGCTGGCACAAGCCTGTCATCTCAGCACTCAGAAGGTTGAGTAAGGTAGGAGGATCAGAAATTCAAGATCAGTCTGGGCTACACAGTGAGTTCCAGGCAGGTCTGGACTACATGTCTGAAACCCCGTCTCAAACACAAATCTTTTAAAAATGTTTTTAAATTATTTTATTTTCTTATTTTTTATTTTATTTTTTTGGGTCTTTTTGAGACAGGGTCCCCTTGCAGCCCCAGTTGACCTGGAACTCACTATGTAGACCAGACAGGCCTTGAACTCACAGAGATCTGCCTGCATCTGCCTCCCAAGTGCTGGGACCACAGGCATGCGCCACCACGCGCAGCCTGGTTTTTTTTATTTTATGAGTATATTGCCTCCATGTGTGTAAGTGCACCCATGTTGTGCAGTGCCTGTGGAAGGTGTTGGATTCCCTTTAAACTGGAGTTACAGAGAGTTGTTAGCTACCATATGGGTGCTGGGAACCAAACCTGGGGCCTCTGCAAGAGCAACCAGTGCTCTTAACCACTGAGTTATCTCTCTGGCCTTCTTTTTAAATTCTTAAACTCCAAATTATTTTCCTCTAATTACCTTGTTATTATCTTTAAAATGATGTTAAATGATAGTAAAAATGCAGGCTATTCTTATTCCTTAGCAATAATCCCTCTAGTGTTACCTTATCAAATAAAATAGCTTATTTGTGAGGGGGATGCTATTAAGTTAGCTATAAAGGGAAACAGCCTGAGAAGGTGGGTTCCAACCTCCATCTGTGTAGTGGCTCTGATCTCAGACTGCCAGAGAGTGCCTGTTCTGGCCTCCCTCTGGTATAGGGGCTGAGAAACCAGGGGACTGCCTGAGAGTGCCCAGATCCTGCAGTCTTTTAGATAGACCCACTGAAGGGGTACCCCAGTTGCCTCACCCTGTATCCCTGTTCAGCATGGAAGAAGCCAGAGTGGTCTGCATCCCGATTCCCTATCTGCAAGCTGGGTAACCTCTCAGAGGATGTTGTGATAAGAATAGGAGATAGGAATTGGCTAGGCAGTTAGGGTAAAAAGACCCCAAAGAAAAGTAGCCAGTTTCTTAGCTAAAAGTCAAAATGTCCTGGGGCCTCTTAGCAACATACTCCATTCCAAAGGCCAAAAGTGTCAAAAGTATTTGGAAGCTCTGATCTAATCCCTAAAAGATTTTAGGGTTACCTCTTTGGGGGGGGGAATGTTAGGGTAGCAAAAAGCCCATTAAAAGAAGAAGTTATCAGAAAAAAGTGATGGGGAGAGATGGGAGGAGCTGGAGGGGAGGGAGTGGGCATGGATTTGATCAAAACTCCTTATACACTTATATGTCTATGAAATTCTCAATAAATTATTCTAAAAATAAATAATAAAAAATAAAAAAAGATAGCTATAAAGGGCTGGGTGTCATGGCTTGGGCCATTAAGCCCGGCACTCAAACTATCTCTTTTAACTTGATCTGCCTATTAATATTTAAGGTTCTCATTTTGTTATTCATAAGGAAGACTGGTCAGTTTCCCTTTTGTGCTGTCTTTATATGTCTTGCTATCAGTGTTAGCCTCTGTAACAGTAATTTTTAAGTCAATTAAAACTCTTCAAGGGGCTGGGGGCTGGAGAGGTGACTCTGGTGAAGAGCACATAATGCACTTGCAGAGAACTTGAATTCATTTCCCAGCACCCGCATCAGGACCCTCATGACCACCTGTAACTCCAGCTTTGGGGAATCCAGCAGCCTCTTCTGGACTCCATGGGCAGTACACTTGTGCACAAACACAGACACAAATAAATACACATAATTAAAAGCTGGACATGGTAGTGTATACCTTCAATCTCAGCACTCAGGAGGCAGAGGCAGGAAGATCTTAGAACAACCAAAACTACATAGTTGAGACCCTGTCTCAAATAAACAAGGGGAGGAAATAAGCACGAGGAAGTAATGAACATAGAAGTGTATAGGAAGACCATCTCAGAAAAAGATGGGGACGTAACCTTCAGAACGGAGAAAGTGTTCTAAAAACTATCCTGAAGCTGGCACTCCTCCCAGCACTCGGGAGGCAGAGGCAGGCGGATCTCTGTGAGTTCAAGGCCAGCCTGGTCCACATAGTGAGTTCCAGGACAGCTGGGGCTACAGGGAGACCCTGTCTCAAAAAGACCAAAAAAAAAAAAAAAAAAAAAAAAAAAACAAACTACTAAAAAAAAAAAAAAAAAAAAAAAAAAAAAAAAAAAGACCAACTGTACAGCTAAACTTGAATACCTAGATGAAATGGACACTTATCTAGTAGAATAGCCAGTAAAAATTGACTAAAGTTAAACAACTTGGCCAAGTTAGGTTCATGGGAAAGTTCTAAACTTCAGACAGTCCTAGTGCCAATTTCTTTCTGAGCACTGACAAGAAAGGAGGACATTCAAACATTGGTCTAACTGCTGTCTCCACCCCCTTCCTGACACCTTCATGTCTCTTCATTCCTTTTATCTCTTGCTTTGCAAGTTGTCTATTTTTCACCTTGATTTTAATTAGTTAATGAAAAAAAATACTCTCAAAGCTCCAATGTGCATAGATTGTAGGTCTTGTTTTGATTATTGTTTTGTTTTTTTTTTTCTCTTTTTGACAGGGTCTCCCCGTAGTCCCCGCTGGCCTGGAACTCACTGTGTAGACTAGGCTGGTCTTGAACTCAGAGATCTGCCTGCCTCTGCCTCCCAAGTGCTGGGATTAAAGGTGTGTACTACCATGCCTGGCCTAATTGTTACTTTTAGGAATTTATATTTCACTGCGTATTTGTTTGGAACCCCCAAAATGTGATTTTGTTGTTGTTGTTGTTGTTGTTACTAATATTCCGTTTTATGGGAGGCAGAGGCAGGCAGATCTTTGTGAGTTCGAGGCCAGCCTGGTCTACATAGTGAGTTCCAGGACAGCTGGGGCCACAGGGAGACCCTGTCTCGAAAAGACAAAAAAAAAAAAAAGATTGTTATAACTAATATTCCGTTTTATTTCATTAACAGTTTGTATGGTTTCTAATTTCTTTAAGAGTCAAGCCCCGTCCCTGATACCACTGAGAAGGTGGTCTGATCTTGCTCTGGGTCTCTCTGAGCAGAACCCAGGCTGTCTGCACCTTGTTTTTGCTCTTGGACCCTCACTTGCTTTCACTAGTCACAGATGTTGGTCTGCGATGCACTGCGATGTGCTTTCAAGGCCTGCTAGACTCTTTCATCCCTGTTTGTCCTTCTGTTTTGCCAACCCAGCAGCAGTATTTTGGCGAGTAGCTTTTCCTAGACATTATCGAGCATTGTGAATTCTGGCTTTTAGCATTACAAATTGGTCTTTGTCTTTTGTTTTTAGTCTTTGTCTTAAGTAATGCTTTGAGTTTGGATGCCAATTTGATAAGACCACAACCCTTATTTTCTATTTATTGATACCTATCTCTCTATATCTCTCTCCCTCTCTCCTCCCTCCCTCTCCATCTGCTATAAAGTCTCATTCTATAGCCCTTGTGGGCCGGGTACTCACTATGTAGCCCAAGCCTTGAATTCATGGTGATCCTCCTGTCTCAGTGTCTTGAGTGCTGAGATTACAGGTATATGCCATCATGCCCAGCTTTATTCTTTTGAGTTTATGTCTTTTTTTTTTTTTGACAGGGTCTCATGTTAGTCTCCAAGTCTAGCCTCGAACTCCTGATCCTCCTGCTTCTACCTGTCAAGTGTTAGGATTATAGGTGTCTTTGAAAATACCCAGCTCCATTTTTATTTTTTCAAAGCTTTGTGGACACGTTTCTTCTTCCAGCCCTTTGTCCTTGAAGAGTGATGTTTTGTAGGAAAAAATTCCCCAAGAGCCTGCTTCTCCTTATTTTACATAGAAAGCCCATTATGTGTCACATACACCCTCAAATTCCCAACCAGTATGCTCAGATATGGCTAGAACCCACTAAATGCATACACATAAATAACTCAATACATCACTTCAAAGATGATTGATTGATGACCCAACAGTGTGGCTACTAACAAATGGTTGCTTCAGTGTAATAACATGATCTGCCAACATCCAAGAGACCCATATCTTGCCTTTCTAATGTACCTGCATGTGATTCTGACATGTTGGTTTTGGAATATAACTTGAAATTTCTATCACCCATTTAATTTAAATGTTGGAGCTGGAGATATGACTCATTGGTTAAGAGCACTGGCTGCTCTTGCAGAGGACCTGGGTTCAGTTCCCAGCACCCACATGGCAGCTAACAACCGTCCTAACTCTAGTTCCAGGGGATCCGATGCCCTCTTCTGACCACTGCAGGCACTGCATGATGTGTGTGCACTTTTGTGCATGCAGGCAATACACACATACACATAAAAGAAATTAAAAATAATATCTAAAATGTTGCACTGCACTTTGGAGAGGTAAATATTAATTTTCCAGATAGTGATAAGAATATTGAAATTTGTAGATTCTATAAGTCTTGGGGATATTGAAAACTAATAATAAACAACCCAAAACCCCAATAAACATCCCATCAAGAAAGCATTAACCAAGAAAGTAGTCTGATTGTTTCATAAATGTTTCTGGAGGGTCTTTTTTTGGTCTTTTTGAGACAGGGTCCCCTGAGCCCCCGCTGGCCTAGAACTCACTATGTAGACCAGGCTGGCCTTGAACTCACAGAGACCCACCTGCCTCTGCCTCCTGAGAGGGGGGACTAAAGGCGTGTGCCACCACACCTGGCCTTTTTGTGTGTGTCTGTCTCTCTTGCCCCTCCCTCTTTATCTGTATCTTGGCATGAATGAAGGCTATGTTTTTGTTCTGTGAGCTAATCATTATTGCTATAACTATGTATCATGATAATCATATTTATGGTATTTATGTCAATGATACATACTGATTTTGATGATAAATATCTAAAAGTAGCTCTTTGAGGGTTTCTCTATAATAAGATATGTGATATTCACCAGGAATTCTTTCTCCCTGCAGCCAGCATCTAATTGAACGTGGTCCCCTTGACTAGCAGCCTGTTTGCCCCTTTCCTTGGCTGCCACATACTTCCCCTTCGCTTTCTCCCTCAGTTGTGGCTGTATAATGACGCACTGTTCCATCACCTCTATCTGCCGTCATTTAATCTTGGTTCTGAAGTTAAGTATGCTTATCTTCTGGCAGCAACTTTCTGGTCTTAAGTGATTCCTGGGGAAGGCTTGTATAATTACATAGGCTGCATCTTTTCATGGAAGCTGCTCTGCGGTTTGGCTGGATAGGAAATTTCGGCATTCTCTTTTTGGGCATGTCTTTTCTTCTGACGTGAGCACGGTGCAAGGCAACTGATGGCCATTATTGCCATTTTCGTCCTTCGTATGTGAATTAGGAATGGAGGTGGGGACAGAAAGGTGTGGATGCCAAAGCAGGTTTTTATGCTCCCTAACTGCACCATGGCATGGTTGTTTTGCCTATTGTAGCTCAGACCTTCCCCACAGAACATGTATGTGCCTTTCACTGTGGGCTGGATGGTGGGTTCCTACTTTAACTCACCCCAAGAAATGTTTCTCTAAGTACAGTTTTTAGAATCGTCAACCTCTCTGTCTTCGTCAAGGACTCTATACATGTTTCAGGACCCCTTTTTCTGTTTCGCTTATCTTCTTTTGAATGCTTTTTATTTCTTGTGGATCCTTTTTTTCATTTGCTTCCTTCCGGCCCTGTTTCCTGGCATGCTTCTCTGCCCTTGTGTCCCTCTGTTTCCTCCTTGCTTTCCTGTAGTCTGGGGTGACTGTTTCCTGGAGTGGTGTTTGAAGTACTGCTGGAACACAGCCTCCTTTTCCGTCGGGCCCTGATGGTCTTGTCACGGCTAGTGTGTTTTCTGTCTCCAGTAGTTGTTTATATGGCTCTTTCGTGGTTCCCATAAAGGAGGCTCTCTCACTTTTACTGGTGGACCCACATCTGCCTACTGGGTCCCACCCAGTGTGCCCTCTTGTCATGTGACTCCTGGGCAAGTGGTGCTTCCACCCCGGGTCTGGCTGGGGTTTATGGTGATATCTCATTTTTTCTACTTTGCCAATGATGGCTGCAAGATTTCTCCTTCAGTGTTCTATCAGTCTTTCTGTTTCTGTAAGGAATTGTATGCAAATCGAAAACCTACACTTCCTCCATGATCTTGCCTGGTTGGAGGAGCTAAGTGAGGCCAGACATGGAGGTAGTGACCAGATGCGCCAAGACCATCAGACAGATTTTGAAACAGAGTCCTAAATCTAAACAGTTCACCTTATCTTATTCTTGGCTTCTTAAGCCCTGAACTTGCCTGACTTTCTTATATCTGTGCTTGCCCATTTCATAACAGTTAACACAGCTGTTCTGTTATTTAAGCCTGTGGCATAAGCAGAATAAGTTCTCCCTCCTCCTCATTGGTATATAGCCAAACACCAGCCCTTCATGGAGGCAGAGGGCCCAAAGCAGATCGTGAACATGAACAGGTCTAGGCCAGTTCCAAAGCTTCCATTAGTGTGTGAATAACGCGCATCTGAGTTCCAGCTCTGACAGCCCTGGGCCTCTGCTTTGGATACGGCGGGTCACAGATATTTTCCAGAGCCTAATGAAGTATGTGCACAGGTGACTATCTGACCATAACCTATCCTATGAATAACCAAGGGAAACTCCTTCTTTAAGGAGGATATTTAAGAGCAAAGCAGTCAGGTTGGGAAGAGCTTTTGAAACAGCTGCCTGTCCAATTCATTCTAAGAAACCAAAGCTGCTGTGACATTCAGGCACAAAGCTTACCTTAATGGGCCTTTCCAGATCTTTCCTTGTGAACCTCATCACAATGAGTCCTAGAATTGTTACTCCATAAAACAGCCATGCAGCAAAACTGAAGTAATTGACTAAGGAGTTTATGTCACCAGGGATGATGTAAATGGTGGCGATGATGCCCTGGTAGGAGGAAGAATGAAGTTTGGGTTATTAGTGCCCCTGTCCATTGTCCTTGTCACCTCACAGGAGACTGAAGAAGCAGCTTTGCCTGCAGGTAGACAGCCTTAGTTTGAGACAAAATTTGTCTATGATCACTGTTCTTGAAGCTTGGCAAGAAGAATTTGGACAATTTGTGAGTCTTTGAATCTCTCTCTCTCTCTCTCTCTCTCTCTCTCTCACACACACACACACACAAAATGAAGTTTTGTCATGTGTCCAAGCTAGCCTCAAACTCTTGATCCCCCTGTCTCAGCCTCTTGAGAGCTGGGATTAAAGGTGTGTGCCACCACATCTGGCCTGATGCCATGATTTTAAGCAAGAAAAAAAATAGTCAAAATATGTACATCTAGCCAGGTGTGGTGGCATATGCCTTTAATCCCAGCACTCTGGCGGCAGAGACAGGCAGATCTCTGTGAGTTCAAAGCCAGCTTGGTCTACATAGTGAGTTTCACACTAGCTGGGGCTGCAGGGAGACCCTGTCTAACCCTCCCATATATGTTACAATGAAGTTTAAAGGGGGAAAATCGGAATAAGAACTCAAAGACCAAAGGATTTGCCAACATGGGGTCAGTTTTGGTGGAATAATGATAATGAAGGTTTCCATTAGCTCTGTTTTTTTTTTATTTTTGACCTAACGAGTTTATTGGGCTTGCTAACAGAGCATAGAGTGGGAGTTTATTTACAGAATGGTGGGTGCCCTCCCCCATTTATGGCTGTGCTGGAAAGTCCACACTCAAGTATAGATCCCGTGACTTCCCGACAGCCACACAAAATAGGAAGAGAGGTGCCTCATGGCTTCTTGGCTTATATATCCTTGCTGAGGTTGACTGATTGGGTGGGAGGGTCATGGCTACGTTTTTGATCTGGCCATGGCCTTGGCATTTCAGGCTCAGAGGCTGTTTCCCCATCTTCAGAGTAATAAACAGGAGTGCCGTCCTCTGGCCGTGAGCTAGGCCTACCCATCCCTGAGAAATCCTGGCCAGTGAATGAGGATGATCCCATGACCTCCATGTTAACAGACTGAAGTGAGGTTGTTATCGGCAGCCACTGTGAAAGCACCTTATTCTCCCTGGAAGCCACGGGCCTCCATATAGTTTGTTAGCAGGGCCCCAGAACAGACAGGTACCCGTATATGTACATATGTCTAAGAAGCAGAGGGCACAAGCTTGCAGGATTCAGGGCCATGCCAAGGAATCAGGATGTCTAGCTCATTCAGAAAGCCCTGGGCCCAGCAGCACAGGCAGCACAGGTCTCTGTAACCACCCACCTGGAGGGACCCTCTGCCTTTCTGGTGAGACATACTTACATAAAAGATGAGGGCAGGGGCAGGTGTGAGGCGCTTGACACTGATGTATGAGAGCACTTTAAGCATGTGGCCTTCCCGGCCTGCGACATAGATGAGTCTGAAAGAACAATTGCATGGGACACATGCCTGACACTCACCCTGAGGCCACAGGCAGGGGAAGTGGGCAGTGACCACTCATCTCTGGTAGAGTGAGTCCTCTGGGGCTGGGGAGGGTGCTGGTATGAGTGTGGTGGGCAACTGCCTGTGAGGAGATCACCAGGCCAGAGGCATGGTGGGCCTGGTTTATATGTCGATACCTTCTCCACTCCCAAAAGCAGTGCAAGAAAAAAATGTAAAACTAGTGTCTTTGTTTCTGCATTGCTGTGACAAAACACTCTGACCAAAACCAACTTGGGGAGGAAAGGGTTTATTCAGCTTACATATCCCAGGTTGCAGTTCATCAGGGAGCCCAAGGTAGGAACTCAGGGCAGGAACCTGGAGGCAGGAGCTGGAGCACAGGCCATGGAAGAGCACTGCTTACTGGCTTGATCCCCTGGCCCCTGCTCAGCCTGCTTTCTTATGCAACACAGGCCCACCTGCCCAGGGGTGGCACCACCCACAGTGGGCTGGGCCCTCCCACATCACTCATCAAGAAGATGCCCTTCAGACATGGCCACAGGCCAGTCCAATAGAGGCAATTCCCCAATTGAGGCTCCCTCAACCCAGGTGTGTCAAGTTGACACTAAAGCATCCCACACACCTAGTCCAGGGCATGGACCCCAGTGCCTGGAAGCAAAAGAGTGCCTGTGCCTGTGCCAGGCCCGGGGTCCTCATGCTCGGAAGGCACAGCAGACTGAGTGGACACAGTGACAATCCCCTTCCCAAATTCCTGATAGTTTGGCCATCAGGAAGTCTAAAATGTGCAAGAGAAAAAAGGAGAGATCTAAAAGAGATTTCATACATATGTGTGTATGTATGTATGTATGTGTGTGTATGTGTGTATGTGTGTGTGTGTATGTATGTATGCATGTATGTATGTGTGTATGTATGTATGTGTGTGTATGTATGTGTGTATGTATGTATATATGCATGAATATATGTATGTGTATATATGTATGTATATATGTATGTATGTGTGTATGTATGTATGTATACTTATAAAAGCTACCATGCTTAAGAATTGAATCAGATGCAAACGAGAAAGTGCATTGGAAGCTGGGTACATGGACGTGCAGCGGGAGGGTGGGGAGAGATGGAGAAACGCAGGCACTGAGTGAAGGCAAATTCAAGGGACAGGACTTTGGAATAATTGAAAACCATGCCAGGAATGATGGCACAGGCGTGTGCCAGTCCAATACTTGGGAGGCAGAGGAGGGCAATCAGGAGTTCAAGATCATCCTCAGCTGCCTGGGCTGTAGGAAAGCCTGTCTCCAAAGGATGATAATAGGGGCTGGAGAAATGGCTCTGCAGTTAAGGGCACATACTGCCCTCTCAGAGGACCCAAGTTTGGTTTCTAGTGCTCACAACCATTGCCTATAATTCCAGCTCCAGTATGTACAAGTGCACATAATTAAGCATTTTAAAAAGATAATTAAATGAGGCCGAGCATGGTGACGCACACCTTTAATCCCAGCACTCAGGAGGCAGAGGCAGTTGGATCTCTGTGAGTTCAAGACCAGCCTTATCTACACAACAAGTTCCAGGCCAGTTGGGGCTACAGGGAGACCCTGTCTCAAAAAGACCAAAAAAGGGGGGAGGGGTTTAAATAAATAAACAGGAATCCTTGAAACGTAAAAGGGAAAAATTGGGAAATCCACTGTTGAAGTGAGAGATTTGATCATTGAACAAGGTACCGACTTGATGATATATAAATCTAGAGACAATTATAGAAATGCATTATTTTTAAGTCCATAGAAAACAAAAAATTCAGTGATCCACAAAGTTGTAAAACTTGTCAAGACTTGATGTCAAAAGACACCACATAGTCTAGCTACAGTGCAGTAAAATTAAGTATCTGGAATACACAGTCCACAAGACCCATCTACTCACAATGCTTTGGTAGGCTTGTTGAAAGAGTCAAAATTTAGAAAGAGGTACTGATTATATACGGGCATATGCTTCATTGAGTATTTTGATAAGAGAAATGCCTGAACAGAATTTTGTAAGCAACTAAGAAAATAAGCCAAATAGAGCACACTGGTGCTTTTCTTTCTTTCTTTTTTGTTCTGAGGATGAAACCCAGGACTTTGCATATGCTGAGCCCAGGCTCTACCACTGAGCCACACCCCAAGCCAATACTGGTGCTTGGGAGTTAAGAGTGCTTGTTCCTCTTTCCACACCCACATCTGCTGGCTCCCAAATGCCTGTAACTCCAGTTCCAGGGGATCAGATGCTCTCTTGGGTTCACAGGCACCTGCACACATTTAGTGCACATACAGACAAGCAGGCACACATACACATAAGTAAAAATGAACAAAAAAGGTTTTAAATGAGCTTTACTTTTCTCTCCCAAATACACAATTAGATGAAAACCTAGTTTATTTCAACTGGGGTTTGGGGTTCTACAGTGTCAATTAACTGTTAACAAAAAACAAGTTATTATATGAACTAGCAATTGTGTTTGTAGGAATTTACCCAAGATAAATTAAAATATATCTCTACATAAATAAATATTCATAGAAACACACAAAAGTCCAAGGTAGAAATAGCCCAAAAGTTCATCAACTGGTGAATAAATTGTGATAGAGCTGTACAATGGACTACTATGAAGCAATAAAAAGGAATGAGCTGCACAGGTTTAGTCCCAGCACTCAGGAGGCAGAGGCAGGCAGATCTTTGTGAGTTCAGGCCAGCCTGGTCTACAAAGTGAGTTCCAGGCCAGCTGAGGCTACAGTGAAACCCTGTCTCAAAAAGACCCCCCCCCGCCAAAAATGAATGAACTGATACTGAAACTTGGATGAACCTCAAGAACATGCTGTCTTGAAAGAAATCGTTTGCAAATGATCTAATTTAGATGACATGTCTAAAACTAGCACAGTTACAGAAGCAGAGAGTAAATCTGCCTAAGGTTAGGGATGGAAGCAAAGAGTAAAACTGGGCACGAGGAAACTTTTAGGAATGTTGGATATACTTTTTAAACCGGGAACCCATATAATGGAAGGCAAGAATTCCCACAAGTTGTCCTCTGACCTCCACATGCATGTGGCATGCATGCACCCACCTACCTCCACACGTGCACAATAATAAAAGCCAAGAGAATGTATAGTGGAGGAATGATATATTCCAAGTGCTGAAAACAGCTGCCGGCCCGTACTACTATACCCAGAAAAGCCGTGTCACAACTGGAGAAAAACCTTTTCATAATAAAAACAAGCTAAAGGAATTCATGACCACAGGAAAGAGTTAAACCAAGCAAGCCGGGCATGGTGGCACGTGCTAGAATAAAAGGTAAGCAGAAGTGAATAAGAAAATACCATACTACAAAGTTAGCAAAATGGTAGGCATTAGTGCACACCTTTTAATATCAACTGAATATATACAGTCTCAGATTCCTGATCAAAAACAGAGCCTAGTAGATTGGATCAAAAAGCAGGAATCATCCATTTGTTGCCTCCAAGAAATGCACTTCACCATAAAAGACAGATGCTGCCAGCTGGGCATGGTGGCACGTGCCTTTAATCTCAGCACTCAGGAGGCAGAGGAAGGCAGATCTCTGTGAGTTCAAGGCCAGTCTGATCTCCAAAGAGAATCCAGGCCAGCTGCAGCTACAGGGAGACTCTGCCTCAAAAAGACAATAAATAAAGATGAATAAATTAATTGATTAATTAATAAAAT